CCAGTCTCCCTTTCCCTGCTGTAACTACTCCTGAGTCTGTGTTGTAGACGTTGGGGCCAGAAGGTGGCAGAGTATCAGGGAGCCTGTGTGGCCATGGGGCAGGCCCTCCATTGACCTGTGCTGGGCATAAAATGTGAGCAAAGGTAAACTCAGTGTGAAGCCCCAGAGACCTGAGGGTTGTGGCTGTAGCATACTTTAGTTACTAGAGGGACTGTGTCTGACCCCAAGGTCACTGGAGTAAGGGCCTTCTCTCTAGAGTCAGCAGCCATTACCCCTTCTATCCCTCTTTTAAAGTTAGAACATGAACCAGAGGCACTGTGCACATGTATTTTTCATGAAAATGGGAAAGGAGTGAAGAAGGAAAGCTGAAAGCATGTAGCCCAAAGGACTGGCTGGGGGACGGCGAACAGAGTACACACGTGGCAGCCGGGGCCGTGCGGGGGAGCTTGGCCACTGGAGGACATTCTCTGGCTCAAGGCCACCACTTGGTAGGAAGCGAACAAACACATGAATGGACGAGGTGCACGTAGAGCTGAAGGAGGGTTTGGGGAGGGACTCACAGGATGGGGGACTGGCAGGCGGGGGAGGCGGGGCAGGCAGGTAGGGAAACCCTCTTCCCCCGTCCTCACCTGGGCAACTGTAAGCAGGTGTAAGACAGCGGTGTGAGCACCCTGGTTTGTTTATTTTATTGTGGTAAAACATTTGAAACATGAAGTTTACCATCTTATCCGTTTTTGCGAACTTGTCCGTTCTGTGCTAGTATCACACATCCTCACTGCTGTGCTGCTGTGCAGCCGTCCTCACCGTCCCGCCCAGAAGTCCTTCCTCGGCCCACAGAGCAGTTCTGTGCCCACTAAACAGGAGCTCCTCCTTCCCTTCTGCCCCCAGCCCTCGAAACCACCCTTCTGCTTGCGGTCTCTGTAAGTTCGACTGCTCTAGGTAGCGTATATAAGCGGAATCATGCAGTTGGTGTCCTTGTGTGTCTGACTTAATTTGGCTTCGAGTAGTATCTTCGAGGTTCATTGATATTATAGCATTTGCCACAATCCCCTTGCCTTTGAGGACTGAATAACACTCCACTGTATGTCTAGCTGGGTTTTGACACCAGCTTTCCCACTGCACCCCAGCCTTTCCAGACCAACAACCCAGCTGTGTCTGGTCTACAGTGCCACCTGGTGGTCACTTGGGGGCACTCTCTGCCCTAAGGTGTCCTTTTGGAGCAATATCTTGTTCTGTTTTTGCGCTCCTCGATGGGCCGATTCAGTCTCAGGCGATCTTTCTTACCCACAGCCTAACATGACACTTTATCATTTGACTTTCAACTTGGCTTTCTAAAGGATAGGAATTTACAGCTGGAAAATGTTCATTTCCCCTCCCCCATCAGCACGGGTGGTGAATGAGAGTCCGACATTCATGCAGCCAAGGTTCATTTGGGAGCAGGGTCACTGTGTGACGGGTCACTGCTCACTCAGCCTGTCCCCCTGCTCTCTGGCGTGTTGTGTGCCCACACAGTGAGGACACACGGGCAGGATGTTACCCATCTGTGCCGTGTCCTCCCCATCTCCACCCCCTAACCACCCTCCCCTCTGTGCTGTCTCTCTGTTCACCGGAAGTTTAGTGGGTGAGGGAGGCCTGTGGGCAGGACCAGCTCTACCATGGCAGGCACCCCTGAGCATCCATGGCCCCAAATCTACGAAATCTAGAATTTTCCCCAATCTGGTTTACTAGAGGGTCCTGCATGGAGATGAAGCTTGCTTTCACGAGGAAATTCTTTACCACATTTCCTTACTGGTTAATGAACTTTGGATGTATTTTTCATTTTGAATAATCTTATAAGGGAGAAAATTTTCAAGGCAAAACAATATTGTAATTTGAATTAAGTGTATTATTCTGAGAATTTCAGTTGAAATTAGACTTTCTTTTTCTCTTGGTGAGGACAGTTTCAATCAATATTTTGGAGGTATCAGTGTGTTTATGTGCCTCTCCCCCTTTTAAACTACAATGGACTTGACATACCACTGCTTAGGGCTTCCTCATACTTAAAATAAGGAGGTTAGTTTCATGATATTATCTCTTCAGGTCTTGACCTCCTGTGATGTCTATATAGTTTATCTCTGCCCATCTGCAAACTCCTTAGGGCAGGGACCTTGTTATATCAACCTTTCCATCTGTGTCTCACCTGGTTTTCGTTGAGAATGGACCCTTCCTACGTAAATTCTCAAAGAGTTGAACTGAATCTTAAGTTTCCAAATGCCAAAACTGGTGTTTTCACACCAGTGGGTTATAAAGTGAATTTCTTCTTCAGATGAAACTCGGTAACCCTGGAATTTTTTATACAACCCTAACAATTTCTATCAAACACTAGATGACTTTTTTTCCATATAACTAGGTACTGTGGACCCGGGTTCCCAGCACTTCTGCACCTTCACTTGGCAGCTGGCAGCATGAATGACCAGGGGGACCCCTCCCAGCAGAGCACATGACCAAGCACAGCTGTGCGTGTTTTTTAGCATGACTGCACCAGGACAGGGCTCTGAGCCACTGGGTGGAGCAATACACCCTGGGGAGAAAGCTTATGACATTTCCCCTATGATTTCAAAAAAGAAAAGAAAAGGAAAAACTCTCTTTTTCTTACAAGTTGTTTCTGCTCCATGGCAGTAGAAAAGGTCCTAGTGTGTGTACATGTAGATGGCATGCGTGAATATGTGCCATATCAGCCCCCACCACAGGCAGAGCATCTAAACTGGTCCCAGGCTGAAGGTGAGGCAAACATTGTTAGCTGGTTGCCTTGTGAACACCCACTACCTCTGCTCCCTTGATAACAGAATCCCAGTTTTATTTGGGGTGACAGTGGATCCAGCTAGAAGACAGTGTGCTGGCCTGCCTGGGAGAGCTAGGCTCTAGCCAGTGAGATGTACACAGAAACGTTGTGTGGAATGTCCACACAGGCTGCTTAACTGAAGCTGACGCCATTGACAGGGAGGTTCCTTTTGGACTTCCTTCCCCCTGCCTCCAGATGGAAGTCAGCTTGATGGCTGGAGCTCCAGCAACCATTTCACAACTTGTGGTGACCTTGAGGCTGGAGCAGGATGACAGACAGACTGGGTGCCAGCTGACTGAAGAGCCACAATAGCAGCTCTAGATGCCTAGTTTCCATCTGCTTCTGTGGAAGAGAAACCAAGCAATAGCAAAGACCTCTTTCCTGTTTAAAACACTTTAAAAAAAATTCAGTGTTCTATTATGTACAACTTATTATTAATCCTGCCCAAGCAAGGTGTCCCGTTTGCTCAAGCTGCCATAACCAAGTGTGACCGACTGGGATGCGTGAGCAACAAAAATTCATCTTCTCGCTGTTCTCTGGAGGGTAGACGTTCCAGGTGGAGGTCGGGGCAGGGTTGGTTTCTTCCCAGGCCTTTCTCCTTGGCTCGTGGAAGGTGGCTGCTGTCTTCTCCCCGTGTCTTCACGTGTCTCCTCCCGTGTACATGACGCCAGCCACGTTTTCTCCTCTTACAAAGACACCTGTCCTGTGGGATTAGGGTCCACCCTAACGAACTCTTTTTTAACTTACTCTCCTCTTTAAAGACCCCGTCTCCAAATGCAGCCCCATTCTGAGGTCCTGGGGGCCTAGGGTTTCAACATGGGGAATTGGGAGGGACAGGACGCAGACACTAACACAGGCACAAACGAAGGGGCTTGTCGTGGCTCTTTTTTTCCTTTGGTCATCATAGAAAAGTTGGTAGTCAGCGTCCGTCAGGAGTGTGGGTAGGAAATAAATAAACCACTGGGACAGGGAGGCGAAGCCGTGTGTGAATTCTGTGTTTCAGTCTCGAGAACGAAAGCTCCTCACGGCCAAGTGCGACAGGGGAGAGCGCGGAGGGGCCGGCGCGCCGCCGGAAACCGGCAAAAATGCGACAGAACCGCCCCCGGAGCCGCTTCGATGCTGGAAAAGGCATACACACGAGCCCAGGAGCCCAGTCCGTGACAGAGAAACCGGCACCCGGCGGGCGCGGGGCGGGCGGGGACTGCGGGGCCCGGGAGGAGCATACTTGGGGCCGTGGAGAAAATGTCCTGCCGCGCCAAGGAGGGGTGCGTGTCTTCCTTACTTAAAATTAAAAATGTGGTAACTGAACTACAAATTAATTTTTTTAAAAAAAAGGGATGACTGAAAAGCAAAAAAAAAAAGAAGAAATCAGCCGACCTTTCCCTTAAAAGTCGAATTTCAAACCACCTCTGGCAAAGAATCTTTTGAAGAAACACAGATCGAGTGATTCAGCCTTGAAAAGGATGAGTCAGTCAGCGCCTACAGATTTGGGGAACATCCGAAGAGAAACTGACGATATTTTCTAATACAAAGTAATGTGTTTTTTTTTAAAGCTCCTTCGAGTGGGAGGGATGACAGGAAGAGCGGCGAGCTGATGGAACCGAATCCTCTGAGAGGGACTTTTCAGGAGCGTTTTCGGGGGTCAGAGAACCGACGGGGGTGCTGAAGCCGCTGGGACTGGACGCCCCTCGACCGAGCGGCGACGCGGGGGCCCGAGGTCCGGCGGCTCGAACGTCCGCAGACACTCCGCACGCGTCGCGGGAGGCCCGCGGGACGCGCCCGACTCCGCGGACCGGCCTTCCCTGCAGCCGGGGCAGCGCCAACTCACCTCACGGCGAGACCCTGAGGCCTCGCGAGGCGCTGAGGAGCGTTCCCGGAGGCCCTGAGGGAGCCCTGGGCCCCGGGCCTCGCGCGGGAGAGGAGAAAGTCGTCCCCCTGGTGGAAAAGGCGCGGGAGCGCAGGCTGGGGGGCCCGCCCCTCGGCTCTGGGAGCCGCCGCTGGACCAGGGGCGGGGTCTCGGGGCGGGACAAAATGGCGGAGGGGAGGGGCTTTCCGGGGCGGACGGGGCGGGGCCTGGTAGGCCTGCGCGCCCCCGGGGGTGGAGCTATGAGGGGGTGTAGCTGGAGGCGTGCACTGGACCGGGTCCCGGAAAGGGGAGTTAGGGGGCGGGGCTGGCGGCTCGCGCAGGCGCAGCCTAGCCCCGGGCGAAGATGGCGGCCTCCAGCTGGGTGCGCGCGGCCGTGGTCCTACTCTGCGCCTCTGATCTGCTGCTGCTGTTATCGCCCGGGGCCCGTGCGGACGAGGGCACGGCCGGTAAGCCCGGCGAGGCTGCTCCCCCTCCCCCGAAGAAGAAGAAGAAGGACATTCGCGATTACAATGATGCGGACATGGCGCGTCTTCTGGAGCAGTGGGAGGTTCGCGACGCGCGCACCCCCTAGGGCTTTGCTCTGTCTCGGGACCCGCTACCCCTGACCTCCCACCCCCTTCCGGTTACTGTCTTACAACTCCCTAACCTCCTCTCTGCTCGTGCCACGAGTCTTTACTGATCCCCTCGAGCCACCGGTGACCCTCCGTGCTGGCCCCGATTCCCTCGCTCTGTCACCCCCAACTCAGTCAGTCCTCTATCCCAGTGCCCTCGTCTACCATTTCTAGGGGCCTTTCCAGTCACGGGTCAGCCTCTCGCATGGAGTCTTAATTTACTTTCAGTGCCCTGGTCGCCACCCCTACCTTGCTCCCCGTGATCACTGAGCCCTGCCAATGGCAAGGAGAACTTTTCCATTGTATTTCTGAAGAATGGGTGAGTGGGTGGTGAGGGCTGTGGTCGGAGTTACTTTTCAAGAGGGTCAGCTTCAAATTTAGTAGTTTTCTCGTCTTCCAAATCAGTAAGATTTCAGACTTCCCATTTGGGTACATTTCCCTAATGAGAGTTTTGTAATTTCAAGGGGTGGCTGCCCTGGTAATCACAGACTACTCGCTCTCATGGAACTCACATCATTTCATTTAAAGGAGCAATGACTTTTTGTGAGAGTAAGCTTTCTGAATGCGCTGTAGTGTGTAATTGCAGGGAGTTTGTAATAAGCTTTTTAGATAAAAGTTCACTAGCCAAAAAACACATTGCTGCCATTTTCCCTTTTAAAGGTGGTTGTGTTGTTCCCGTTAACCTAGAGACAGAAACTAGGATTCTATTCATTGTGTCACCTTGGACGAGTCAGGTCTCCTCTCTAGGGTGCAGGCTCCTTATCTCCAAGATGAGATTCTTTCCAACGCTGATGTTTCATTACTTTATGGTTATCTCTCTGTGAGTGTTTGATAGAGACCTTCAGAGATGAGTTTAAAATGCTATCTGATACACTTGACTAGCAGAAAGCAGGCTGTATGTTCATTTTAATCTGCAGCTGATGGAAAGATTGGGGTACAGTGGAGGGTGTGGAGACCACTAGCGAAGAGAGAACTTAATGTAGCACTTCCTTCCCCATTTACCATCTCCCTTGCAATCTTCCTGTCTCTTTCTGGACTCCAGCAAGTGAAGGTTTTGATCTGCCAAAGTGAGAACACTGTCTCATGAGGAGATCCTACCCCGGAAATACTCAGAGCCTGAGCCAGACAAACGGGGGCTGCAGAGATGAACAGGGGATCCAACCACTGGTAACAGGAGATAACAATAAAAATAACCGTAACACAAAGTAGGAATTGCTGAATGCCATAAAAAGAAAGAAACTGCTGTGGGAATCTCAGAGGGTTTCAGGGAGGAAATGGCATGTTGGGTAGGCAAGGGAAGTGTGGGAGAAGGGCCTTCCCAACTGAGCAGCGTGAGCAGAAGATGGGACACGGAGGGACTGGGCAGAATGGTGCACATGGTAATGGCCTGGCTCTGGAGTTAGACCACCTGGGTGCAAACCATTTAACTTGTGAGTCTAGACTGGTAGGGAACCTCTCTGTGCTTTAGTTTCCTCACCTGAAAAAATAATAGAGGTGTTACTAGTATCCACGTAGGTAGTTCTGAGGACCAACGGAGGAAACATGGGAGGAACCAAGAACGCTGCGGCTCTGATCATTAGCTCTGGTGACATAAAAATCTGTCACCCGATGTAAATGAGTTTGGTTGGCTGGGGCAGACCACGTCTGCACCAAAGCAGTGGGAAATAAAGACGCAGGGAACCGGGTCGCGCTGGGCCTGGGGTGCTGTGGGGTTTGGGCTTCGGAAGGAACTATGCTGTCCCTGGTGAGTTAGAGAAGTTTGAAAAGTTGGGATGTTTGTATTGAATCATTCATAATTTCATCCCCAAACATGTTTTTTTTTGAAGTGCCCTTCTGTATGTAGACGTAGTTTTTATAGCAGAAAACATAGTGTCAGTGAACTTTCTGCTCTTTGTTTTTTCCATAAGGCTTCAGAATGTGCCTTGGAGTGGATATTTCAGCTTTTGAAGGTCTTTAAATAGTGGAATATCATGGTTAGTGCTAAACTTGAGGAAAGTTATTTGGTTGGTAAAGTTTAGGATGGCTGGGCAGGGAGAGAATCTGAAGGCAGAGACAACTTAAACTTAATAGTTAATATTTATTGAGTGTTCATGAGCTGTCAGAACTACTGTAAGCACAGTATGTCATTTATCATTTAGCCTCTTACTACGTCGGTGAGGGAAGTGTGGATCCTTGTTTTCTAGGTGATGACATCAAGGCCCAGAGAGGTAAAGTAACTTGCCCAAGGTGGCACAGCAAGTTAGTTGACTTTCCAATTCAGTCAGTTTAAAGGGTGTTGTTACAACCATTTTGCTACACAGCTGTACACATTGGTGAACAGAGGTGCAGGTGAAAGGTGAGGAGGAGGACCTGGATTAAGCTCGAGGCTTCAGGAATGGAGCAGAAGGGAGAAATGGGAGATGGGCTCGTAACAGGACTTGGTAGGTAGTTGCTGCTGATTGTGCGCCTGCAGGGTGACAGACAGCATAGTGTAGTGAAAGGACAAAGGTTTTGACCCCAGCTTTACCCTTGATGACTGGGCTCCTCATTTTCCTATGCACAGTCAGGAAACGTCCCTCTTGCAGGCTGCATGCAGGCTACATGCATGAGCTGACCTCTGCAGACACTACAGATGTTGGCGCCCTTCCCCAGTATCTGGTTTTTCTTCTCCCTGTGAGAGAACATGTCCATCTCTGTGGGTGCGTTTTTGTAGAAAACAGTACTTTCTCCCCTGGCAGACGCCCGTAAATCCACCCGCTCCTCTTTCCCTGCTGTTCCTGTGACTCAGTATAACACTTTTGAGATTCTTCACATGTGTCAGTATTTGCTGTTCTTCCTTGCTGCACAGTGTTTCATGCGTCACCACACCAGAATGTGGCCATGTTTACCATCTGTCATGCTGAGGAGACTCTTTGGGCGTGACGAGGGGGCTGTCTGTGGTTGGCGACCTGGAGTGATGGGCAGTAAGTACTGCCTGACACTTAGACCCGTCAAGTAGAGGAGGAAAGGGGCTGGGGTTTGCTTTCCCTGTTACAACACAGGTCCCAGACCTGTGCCTGACGCCCTGTGCATCAAGACGTGCTTGCCTCTGCCAGTTGCAGAACACATTTCTGATGTTTGGTGCTTTTCCCCTCCTGATAGAAAGACGATGACATAGAAGAAGGAGACCTTCCAGAGCACAAAAGGCCCTCAGCACCGGTCGACTTCTCAAAGATAGACCCCGGCAAGCCAGAGAGCATATTGCAGTTGACGAAGAAAGGGAAGACTCTCATGATGTTTGTCACCGTGTCAGGAAACCCCACGGAGAAGGAGACGGAGGAGATCACCAGCCTCTGGCAGGGCAGCCTTTTCAATGCCAACTACGACGTCCAGAGGTAAAGCACCTCGCACCTTGCTGAGCACAGCGTAGGCTGTGCTGGGCTGTGTATCTAGCAGGATAGTCTTTGAAGAATATTCGTTACTGGTCAGAGCTAGTGAGTTGGGGTTTTTTTTTTTTTAGTAACTTATTTGATCATCAAGTTTTATTTATCTTTGTGTCTTTAACTTTTTTTTTTTTTTGCCTGAGTAAAAAAGTTGTCTAGGTTAGCTTGTTTGCAGGTCACATTAGTTAGAATTTAACAGTGTGCTTCCTCTAGACGTTTCTGCTCACTGGAGAATGCTTTTCTGTGTAGCTGTGTTTGTATATAAGCTTAGACCAGACTACTAACAGATAACTAATGTAAGGGAAAGGGTCTGTTTTTCACAGCTCAGGATGATCCTAAGATACAATTTTAAGGAATTTCTTTCTTCCTCCTCAGTAATAGCTCTAAGATTTAGGTCTTCATATGTCTTAGTTTAGGAAGTATAAAAGTAGTAAGTGAAGGAATACTGAGAGAGGATGGCAGAGGGCATCAAGGATGTCAGAGGGCTTTCATTAGCTTCACAGACACTTAGGAGAACAAATGGACCACCACTGCCCCAGGGCAGCCGCCCAGGAACAGAAACGCCCTGCCGGTGTGCCCCGACCCCATTCTTTTCCCGTTTGCCCCTTGGGACCCGTGGAGTTGAGTGTGGGTGCACTGGGCTGCTTTCTGTTAACCTCCGGGGTTAGGATTTCTGTCCAGTAGCTAGGTGTCCTCTCAGGACCCAGTGGAAACTGGTGGTTTTCAGCCTTTATCAGAAGCCTTTTGTCAAAAGGAACCTTCACTGGGTACCGCAGAATGTAAAACAGACCCCAGGGGCAGCCTGCTCTGCACCTCCCCAGCCGCAGCCTCAGGGGCTCTCCCGCATTCCGTCCCTTGATGGTGCCACCCACCCCACACGAGACCCAGGTTCTGCCTCTGCTCCAGTCTGAGCCGAGGGATTAGCTAGTCCAGTCAGCTGGGTTTTCAGACAAATTTCAGAAGCTACAGGGCCTTGGCATACCCAATGCTTTGTTCTGTGTCCCTGTAGAACTTGAGAGGGACTGTTTTTCCGGGTCACGGGCCGCAGACAGTCTGACCGATTAGCCCTTCACTGGCACATGCTGACTGGTCGCATCTCCCCATCCAGGTTCATCGTGGGCTCCGACCGCGCCATCTTCATGCTGCGTGACGGGAGCTACGCCTGGGAGATCAAGGACTTTTTGGTCGGTCAAGACAGGTGTGCTGATGTCACTCTGGAGGGACAGGTGTACCCTGGCAGAGGAGGCGGCGGCAAAGAGAAGAACAAAACTAAGCAGGAGAAGGGCAAGAAGAAGAAGGAGGGAAGCCCGAAAGCCCGGGCTTCGAAGGAAGACAACCGGGCCGGGAACAAACGAGAAGACCTGTAATGGGGCCGCTGGGGAGCACGCGGGGCAGAGCACAGCCAGGGGTCCTGGGGGCGGGGCAGGCGTGGGACACCGCACACTGGACCGAATTCTGCTTCCTTGTGCAGAGGGTCTGCCACGCGGCCGGTTTGTGGTCAGAGTGAGAACTGCTGTGGAAAAGGCTGAAGCAAGGACACAGGTTTCGTGTTAATGCTGGACACTGCCAAATTCAGAGTTACTATAAAACCTCTTTATGTGGAGACCTGGCCGTTGCTTTTTCTCATTTAAATTTTGGGAAGCCACTGGCTACTCTGTCAACCCCCCCAATGCATCCTCTCTGACGCGTGTCCTGTGCGGTGTCCACCTGTTTTACGTCCTGTTAACACTGGAAGGGTACCAGGTTCTAATCAGACAGATGTTAAGGCTTCATTTAAGTGAATCAGGCTCCTCATGCCACAGAAAATCTTTTTCATTGCTATTGAAAACGCCCTGAGAGCCCCGCCCGGAGCTCAGGCACTTGAACGAGCGACCTGGGCACCAGCGTGCGTGAGTCCCGCGCCTGCAGAGAGTGCAGAGGACAGGCAGCCCTGTCACTCGGAGCTCCCGAGGGTTTCCTTTGAATGCCTTGGACTCAGGTCGGTGTCACGTCAGGTGGCCGGTGAGATTCAGGGTCCTGTTCTGTGTCCTTATTTAGGAAATGTGCTCATGTTGGGGCTTGCGTGTTTCATCTGAGGTGGCCATGTTACAGGACGTGAGTTGGGAGTTGGCAGAGTCCTCTGCAGAGTGCGGTGGGATGCCTGGTAACCTCACTCGTTTGTAAATGTGTTTCTTCGACAAAGTGCCTAGATTTGTGGTGTTTCTGCACGGTACTCACATGACGCCCTACCTGCTGATCTCTGATCTCGCTGTTCGCGTGGGAGCCTACTCTGGGTAAGAGTCACAGAACTTCTATGCAGCCGTCATTTTTAAGAAGTAAAATTGTTTGTAAAAACCTTCCGTTGTGATTTCCACCAAGTAACACGTGTACCTAGTCAGACAGCGCCATCATTGAAGAGGGCACTGGGTAGACGATCTGTCGAGCCACTGCTGCCGCCGCCCCAGTGGGCACTGCTGCTCCTCTTACTAGCAGCACGTGTGTTCGCAGCTGGTCGTGACATGTGCGCCGGCCTCGCATCATCTGCTTTCCCTCTCGATTCCGTGCTCCGGCTGCGGCATCTGCCCTGCTGACCCCCCAGCCTCCACACTGCACTGCTGCAGGGACGAAGCACTGACCCCAGCTAAGTGTGCTGAGCCGCGTCAGGAAGAGGTAGGTGGCCTTGGCTTCTCCTGCAGTCTGGGCCGAGAGGATGTGAGGCGTGGGGCTGTGGTGGCCCCCCGTGGCCCGTCCAGAGGCACTGACGGAACAGAGCCAGTGCACACGGTGAGGATACGCAGGGGACAGCCAGGCCCTGATGGTGTCGTCTAAGCCAGCGATTTCCAACCTTTTTCATCTCATGGCACGAAAACTAAAGACTACAGTATTGCAGCACACAAAAGAAATACATATTTTTGGCCACTTGCTCAAAAAAAATAGGTATAATTTTGATTGATTCACATCAGATGGCTGTTGTCGTGTTGGCTGCTGTCATTTTTTTATTTGACCATCTAAGGGAAGAGAGGGCAGTGCCCCCGACTAAACAGAGCGTGCAGGCTGCAAATCAGAGCTCTGAGCCCGAGCCCAGTGGGGTCTGGCATGTGCCCTGGGGCTCCCAGTGTTTCCTCAGGGCGGTTTGCGGGGTTCCTGTTGTCTGCAGCGCTGACAGTCTAGTGTGGAGCTGCTCTCCCGGCTGGGTGACTGTTTTCACTGAACAGGAGGGCGTGTGGCCGTCTGCCTGTCCCTTGTGTTTGCACCTGGTCCTCCCCGTTAGAGTGTCATCTCTGTCTCGTGCAGCCCCCTCCGCCAGTAGTTGCTGAGTGTTCCGTGCTCAGCACTGAGATGCCAGGGACAGTGGAGATGGAGCCCCTGTATCGTGGAACTGAAGGATTTGGTGGGGAAGACAAGTACTACCCACATTCACATTCAGACGGTGACTGTAAGAGCGGGGAGGAAAGGGTGGTCAGAGAGGACCTTCCCCAGACGGGAGGAGGCAAGGAGTGATCCACAGCGAGGAGCGTCCCGTGCAGAGGCCCATGAAGAGGACGGGGGCTGGAGAGGAGAACACACTAATCAGGTGTCGTAGGCAGAGACTGCGCACTGATCTGACAGCACGCCTGCCCCTGCCCCGGCCGGGCGGGGCCCCAGCGTGCAGACCCAGGAGCAGGAGAAACGCCGTACTTGAGGGGGGTGGGGGGGAAGGTACGCACAGACGTGTGAACTTAATTTCACATGTTGGTTTTCGAGTGTGTTCATCTGACACATTTTCACAGCACCGTGGGACTGCAAGCTGTCAAAGGAGAACGCAGACACAAGCACGCCCCTCGTCCTCACGCCCTCGAGTCTGACGGTCACACTGGCGTGTTCGGTTCTGCTGGTTTCCTTTGCGCTGGAGAACCTTTTCCAGCTGAGCGTGTGTGAACCGTTGGCCAAGGTGAGGACGTGTGTGAACTCCCTCCTGTCCTCCCTTGGACGCTGACAGACTCCTCCGAGGACTCTGAAAGCATCCTTGCCATTCTATCTGCTTTTCCTGTCAGCTCACCCGGGGATGGTGCCTCACCCCTGACAGCAAAGCCTTAGTGCTGATTTTCAGGGGCTGTTTCTTTATATCCCAGAACATTTTCAAATGTGGAGTCACTTTTTTTTTTCATTTTGGGAAAATTTATCTTCTAAGTTATTTCTTGGTTTTGTATTGGTATTTGGGGCACCAGTTTTTTTTATTTCTGAATTGAGTTTTATTTTTAAAGATTTCATTGTGTTTTGGCCTTACTGAGCTTTTTAGAGCGTGCACACGCCTCCTGTTCTCCACCTCACATGAGTCCACACCTGCCCCGCCCCGGGGAGTGGGCACAGCTTCAGGGCACCAGTGAACCAGCGGGGGTGGGGATGCACCCTCCTTTCACACAACCACTGTGGAGCAAGGCACCACTGTTTGTTCTTTCCACCTTTTGGTGCAGAAAACCAAGGTACAGCTGGGGAAGCTGTCAGGTTAAAGCCCCTCTGAAGTGACCATTATTGTCCCTCTGTGTAGAGATGACAGTTAAAAGTGGAGACTTATGTCCACAAGGGGGCAGCAGAGGCCCACTTGCCTCGGGCCTCACCACCTGCCGCTCTGACACCCTCCTGTGGGGAGAATTTTGCTGTTTCACAGCCCACTCACGCTGTGCTTGCCAAATGCCTGTGAGGACACGCAGATAGCCTCCTGTCCTCTGCAGCCCTCCTTGCCCTGTGTGCTGGCCCACCTCACTGTCGCAGCAGCCCAAGGCTCAGGAAGGCCTGCACACTGTCTTCCACACCGGGAAACGGGGGCTCAGAGAAGGGAAGCATTTCCCCAGCACCACGGTGCTGGGACCTGAACTCAGACGTTCCACCTGAGAGCGAGCTGGCTCAGGGTGCCACTGCTGCTCCCTAGCTGCGACCTCCGCGAGGCCTTTCACCCTTACGAGCTTCTGTGTATTCACCTAAGAAACAAACCAGAAACCACGATAATAGTTAACAAGCATCGAGTGCTTATTCGGTGCTTCCCATGGATTCACTCACCCCATCCTCACGACCTCTGAGGTGGGGACTTGTATTAGTTCCCATGGGCTCAGGTGAGGCGCTTAAATCACGTGCCCGAGACACAGGTCATAAAGTCAGGGCCGGGACGTCCGACTTCAGACTCGCCGCTGACACGTCAGCCGCGTGGGGTCACGGAGAGGAAACGAAACGGCGCGCACAGAGCTGGCACACACGGGGCGCTCCACGGAGGGTGGAGGCCGCAGAGCATCTGTAACGCCATCCGTGAGCAGCGGGAGGGCGGGGCCTGCCCCCTCTGCCCGCCCCCGCCCGCCCCGGAGTATTCTGGGAAATGAAAGGCAGACCCACAGGGCACGCCATCAACCTCATCTTAGATAGGAGGCCTGCCGTGAAGGAAGACAGACAGACAGACGGCATCCTTCCTGCATTTACTGTGGTGCAGCGAGGGCTCCCACAGCAGAGCCCTGTGCCCTGGAGCAGGCGGAGGCTCTGGGGCACCTGCAGGCCGTCAAAGGACTCCCCGGACACGACATTTAAGGCAGTTCTTCATTTCTCTGACAAGGACTTCTCCAAGTGCATGTGTAATAAATAAATAGAAAATATATCTTTGTTCATGGTGACGCCTACAAGAAATGTTTACATACAAAACACACTATACAGCTAATTCCCGAAAAAGGACCCGCTATTTCGGCGACAGGAGAAAGGCTGGCATGTCAGAGGTGTGCTGTTTTTCTTAGGAGCCTGATTCGTGCCGATGCTCACGCACAGAAGGGACGAGGCGTTTTCTAGGCAGTAGGAGCATCCCTGCTGCCCAGGGCGCACCTGGACGTCGGCTGCTGGTGCACGGTTTAGCAGAGGTTCTCTGGGACGTGTACAGTTCTGAGCATCCCCAAGCAGACGCTTTCTGAAATGGGCTGAGCCGCAGACGGTCAGCATCCCTGGCCTCCTGCAGTGAGCGCGTCCCGAGTGGTTCACAGTGTGAGACCCTTGCCCGAGAGGGGACTGAGGAGCACGACGCAGACGAGAGGAACGTGAGGTCACGGTGACCCGCCTCCCCCTCCACTGCTCTGCCCGCAAGAGGTCCCCCCCCCCACACACACACCAGGGCCTGGGAGGCTGCCCTGTGGCCAGAGGCGGAGTCCTCTTGTCACCTCCTACCTCTTGTCTCCTCCTAGCATCAAACACCCTGCCGTGTGGTGGCAGAACCTCTCTGGCAGTTGACTCAACCTAAGGAATGGATTCGGACCGAGTCTCGGGGGTGCAGCTGGGCCCTCCCTGCAGAAAAAGTGTGGCTGGGGAGGGAGCTGGCGCGTCACGAGAGTGCATAAACCACAGGTAGTTTTCCCTCTTCAGAGGGCTCTCGGCTCAGCTCTCTCCCCGGGGCAGGGGACAGAGCAGGGGGCTGAGCAGTAGCTGCAGGGCCTGGGGTGGACCCCACGGCCCCTCAGGCTCCGAGAGCAGCCAAGGCAGCTCGCAGAGAATGTTCCGGCGTGCGCGGTGCTGTGTGCTGGGCTGCGCCTGCAGACCTACAGAACGGGGAGCACCGGCGGAGTGGCCGCAGCTGTGTGCCCGCGAGTGGGCCGGCAGGTAGCCTGAACAAAGTGGAGGCTGCCCCACTGCCTCTTCCTACATGCAGCCTTCCTGACTCACCCGAACAGGTAGAATCTTTCCCTCTCTGGATGGGTGCTGGTCCCCATTTTGTGCTCTCTGGCGCCTCTGCCTGGTGTCCCAGGGCACCTGCGCCTGACTGCCAGTCCTGAAGACTGCGGCCCCTCCCCAGGCCCTGCCCCCCACCCAGGGGCGCTCCCACCCACTCCTCCTGGGTTCCAGGCACTGTGTAAAGCCACAGGCTTCCCAGATCTCTCTCTAGACTGACAAGGTTTTTAAGTCCACTAGTCTGATCTCAACCTGGGGCTGGAATTTCCTGGCGGGTTGACCACCCCCCTCAAAAGGCAGGCCTCACCCCTTCCCCAAGGGCAGGCAGTTCTGAATGTCCCGCCGCCAATACTCCTGGGAAGGCTGGTTCTCACTTATGGGACGAAGATTTCCATGAGGCCAGGGCTCTTCTCCTACATCTTTTCCTACACCCACCGTGTGGGGGCCAGGGAGCGTGGGGTCTGTGAGGGCCCAGCGCCCAGTCCACATCCCCGCCAGAGTGGCCCCTGCTGCCAGGGCAGCCCAGTCTCCTCGCGTGGCCCCTACACCTCCCGCGGGAGAGGCACGGGGGGGAGAGAAGCACCCGGGAGACTGCAGGGAGAACAGGTCTCCAGCACCTCCCCAGCTGCAGGCAGGCGCACGGGTGGGGGTAGACGGAGGTGCCAGGAGTCGTGTGTCCTTCCCTTGGCTCCCGCCTGGACCCACGGCCTTCGTGCACAGGGGCTGTGCAGGGACCAGCCACCCTGCCCTGGTCCGCTGCCAAGAGTCCCCCATCCCAGTCCACGCAGGGTGGCCCCAGGGTGACAGTCGTCCTCACAGCCTCTTCTTCCTCAGCACGGGGATGGGCACGACTTGGAAGATCTTGGCCTTGTGGTCCTCGGTGTCCAGAGTGACCCAGGTGGGCCGGAAGCTGCCTTTGAAGCCAACGAACACCACCTTCTCTGGAAAGCAGAGGTGAGCCCCGTGAGCAGGAACCCCAGGGGAGAAGGGCCCCGCACCGCCACCCCCGAGCCGCACCGCATGGTGTCCACTGTGCCCAGCCACCGACAGCGCCTGCCGACGTTTGCACAGGGGACACGGTCTCAGCTGAGCCTCAGCCACCTGCACAGGTGACCCCACGACCACAAGCAAGTCCCTGCCCCTGTGTGATGCCCTGTGACCCTGTGACCCTTTGGACAGTGGCTGTGATTTTGTAGTCAGGATGGCCTGGCAGCTGAAGGTCCTGCCTTCGGGTGAGGAGAGTTAGGGCCCCAGTGCCTCAACCCTCTCATCTCAGGCTGCTCACCTTGTGTGGACATGGCGGCACCGCTGTACAGGTGACTAAGGAAACAGGCAGCAGTGGTGAGACTGTTGGGCACGGTGCTAGACTGCACACGCCATGGCCGCAACAGCGGACACTCGCTCTCCTCTACAGTTCCTCTGTCTCCCCTCAGCCTCCTGGGGGCCCCCCCGGGCACAGTCTGATGCTGCTGCGGGCTGTCACGCTGCCCTTTCTGTCCCCGGCTTCCCCGCAGAAGAGCTGCGGCGCCCGGCCAGGCCGCAACGGTCTCCGGCTGCCCCTGCCTGCCTCCGGGGAAGCAGGAGGCTTTGCAGACTGCAGCGGGCCGTACACACCTCAGACATCGGCTGGGGTGCTGAGGAAGAGGTGGGGGTCCCAGCCAGAGCGGCCACAACTGGGAGAGGTCAGACCAAGCCACTTTGCTGCTGCTGTTTTTGGTGCAGAAGAGGCCCAGGTGCTGGGTGAGCAACTCTAGCAGCTCCCTTCAGTGTCTGGCCACGTGTGGAGGAAAGGGCCTGTGCAGGTGGCACCTGGCCCTGCACCTGGGGACCACCACTGTGCTGGGGAGGGGGCTGCCCCCGCAGAGGCAGCAGCTGAGCTCACACAAACCCCAGTCCAGACCGCTCACCTTTCAACTTGAGCCCCTTGTCCGCCCCGAGCTTCTCGAGCACTTGAGTCCACGGGCCCCTGGAGATGTATCTTCCCCTCGACACCATGAGGACTATGGAGCTAAGCAAGAAGGGCCGATGAGAGGGCAGGGGAGGGAAGGGGGGTGCAGGGACTGTGCTGCACCCGGAGGCCCGGGGAAGGGCAGCTTCTGCGGGCCGAGCCGCACGCCCCTCCCGTGCGCCCGGCTGCAGCTGGCACCCGTGACTCTCCACAGCTGCACTCTGTCCCCAGAGAGGACAAAGCAGGTGCCGGGGCGCGCCCCGGGGGCAGGGCTGGCCCCACTGCCTGACCAGGGAGCTCTCCGCCCGCTGTTTGGACAGGACCAGGAGGAACCTGGGGGTGGAGGCAGCCTGAGCGCCCGCGTGCTCAGGGAGAGTTCGCCTGTCCTCGCCTGTCTGCTCAGGTGAGACAGCATGCCTGCTCTGTTCTGCAAACGGGGAAACTGAGGCAAACAGTGGCTGTGTATCTGAGGACCTGCCAGCGGGAGAGGTGTCCGGGTGGGCGTGCCCCACCCGAAGGCCCCAGCCTGCAGAAGCCCACCCGGGGGCAGGGAGTCTCCACGCACCCGCCGTGGTGTGTTCGGGCCGCAGTCTGTGCAAGGAGTCTCCGTGGGGGCCAGACGGGAGGAAGTGACCCCCTCCCCGGAACAGCAACAGGGCCGCTGCCGTCTCCAAGGAGCCCCGTCAACCACAGACCACAGGCCAGACTGGAAAATCTGCGCGGGCCCCTGGAACCTGCTGTTACCCCGCTCCATCCCCCGCCGCCCCCCCCCCAGTCCCATCGGGAGCGGGAAGAAAGTCCTCAACACGCAGAGGGCTGTGCACAGTCAGAGCAGACGGGGAGGAAAGCTGGGCACGCGTGGCTGCTAGGGAGGCGGGGAGCCTCGCAGACACAGCCTCGGCTCCGGGTTCGGGCTCTGTCCCCACAAGGCTGTGACACCGTGGCTGGAATCCCGAGGGGAAGCTGGAGTCCCCTGGGCTGGGCTAAGCCCTCGCACTGGGGGCCTCCCGGGAAGGTCGTGTCCTCCGGACGGGACCTGGCTGAGCTCCCGGCGGCGGGCACCGGCCATCACGCACACTGTGGCTCCCTCTCCACCTGCTCCGGGCCTCCCCACGGCCCGACACCCGTCAGCTCGGACTCGCCCTAGCACCCTAGCAGCTCTAAGAAGTCATCCTTGTTGTGGGTGTGAGCAGCTGCCTCCTTCTTCCCCTGGGGCCCTGGGGCTGTGGGCGGCCCTGGACGGGGCGGGGAGGGCGGGGCAGGGAAGGCCTGGGAGGAGGGCAGACATGGGAGCCCCAGGAGCAGCGGGGGGCGGGGGGGGGGCGACGGGACGTGGTGCCGAGTGCAGCCACAGAAGGAGTCTGACTGAGGCCACGACTCCGTGCCAGCCGTCTGGGTGGTGAGGATGGTGCCATCCAGACAGGGAAACTAGAAATTTTTCTCATTTGGGAGATTAAAAAAAAAAAAGCCAAGAATTCAGTTCCTCAGGAGACCTCTAGGTGGCGACTCCAAATGGCCATGGTGAGGGGGTGTCTGGCTTCTAGTAGAGATCTGGGCTGCAGACACTCACAAGCCACTGGCATTTGGATCCTATTAAGAGCGTGGGAGGGAATGAGCTCATGCTGGGAGACTGTCACGATGGGGGTGAGGGCCAGGGCCGGCTTCCCGTCTGTGGCCGGCCGGGCAGCCAACCGCCCGGCCTGACCTACATTCACACGGCCCCAGCTCCGGGAGCAGGTTCCCAGCCTGGCCCCCACGGCCCGTGGGCCAACCCTGGAGGGCGCCTGAGCTTCCCCAGCCTGCGCTGTGGGGAGGCCTCGGGGACAGGAGGGCCCCAGACTCACTTGTCGGGGAGGCCCCGCACGTAGCTGAAGAGCTGCCACGGTATGCCCTGCAGAACGGCGCTCCTGAAGCTCACGTGGCCCAGCACGCGCCCCTGCCTGCCGTCGATCGCCACCACCTGGATGCCATCCTCCATGCTGGGGTACCTCCTGCCATCCACCTGCAGGCCAGGGCCACACAGGGTGTGAGGCCCCGGGGTCCCCTGCCTGGGGTCCCCGCGCCGACTCGGGCCACAGAGGCTGGCTGCACAGCGGCTCGAAGCACAGAGGCAGCCTGACGCGGTCCCCCCGCAGCCTGCTGGCGTGGGCCGTGCAGTGCCGCCCCTAAGGAAGACCCGCCCACCCAGAACCTGTGGGAGGACCTTGTCTGCAGCAGGGTCTTTGCAGACCTAATCACTGATCTTGAGGTGAGCTCACGCTAGATCTAGAATGAGCCCTCAACCCCGTGGCCGGGGCCCTCACAAGAGGGGCCGGGAGACGTAAGATGCCAACATGGGGGTGGGGGGGAGCCCACGCGAAACCACGGGCAGGTTTCGGGGGGACGTCCCTGCAAGTCAAGGGACAGCGAGGACGGCCACAGCCAGCAGGGGCTGGGACAGGCCTGGAGCAGCCTCCCCCCGAAGCCCCGGAAGGAACTGCCCTGCCGGCGCCCTGACTGTGGACCTGAGGCCTCAGAACCGAGAGAGGATGAATTTCCGTTGTGCTAGGCCCCCGGTGTGTGACAACAGCCTGTGGGAACCGCCACCCCCCGTCAACGGGCAAGCTGGCTCTCTGCAGGGCCCAGCCCCTTACTTCAATGTAAGCGAGGTCGCTCAGAAAGTGGAACAAACGCTGCCTGGAACTTTCCATCTTCACCTCCAGGAAGTGGTCCTTGGTCTTCTGCAAAACACACCACCCCGGGCGGCCATTCGATCTGAGGCATCAAGCAGACGCCCTGTGGGTGGTCATGCCCCGCGGCCCCCTGCCCCCGCCCCGGCCACAGGAAGCGTGCTGGGAGCCGAGCGGGGGTCCCGAGAAGACCCTGCTTGGGCCTGAGCCCAGCGGAAGGCAACAGGGCGGGCTGGCTGCCTGCCACTCACCAGCTGGGCGCCGACCAGCTTCCGGGGCATCGGCACGTCCACGACGGCCCTCTCGGCAAACCGGGGGTATGCTGCGGCCGTGCAGTCGCTGACGCCTGCGTTCTTGGGGATCAGAGCTTTGATCCTGATTCTCTCGCAGCCCTTCACCGAGCAGAAGGCGAACCTCTCCCTCTCGTTCTGGGCCTTCAGCTTCAGGAACAGCAGCCTGCGTGCAGGGAGCGGGGGGCGGGGGCGTTGGCTGTGGCCCCCCCACAGGACTCGCACGCACGCGGGAGCGACGCCTGGCTCGGGGGCCGTCTGGCGGACCCCACCACCCGGAACACAGCCAGGGCCGCTCCGGTGGGTCGTGACCTCGGAACGTGGGGCTGATTCTCAGAGTGGAGTGCATCCAAACCCCTCACTTTTAGCCTGTTGGCTTTTACTGACCCCCAGTCAGAGTGATCTGGTCATGAAGTGTCTTGGCCGATAGCAGAAGACGAGGCAGCCACTGAAGGCAGGTGCCATGAACCCGAGTAAGAAGCGACTACAAATGTGTAAGGCAAAAAGATAACTAAAAACAGCCCCAAGATTTCAAAGAGCCCCACAGTGGGGCTTCTGCACAGGAAACGAACGCCAGGTAGCGCAGTCAGCGGTCCCGGAGCACATCAGCACGCTGAGGCGCAGCGTCCTCGGAGCCCAGAGCCGTCCCACACCTGCACACGCGGTCGGCCTGCGGCAGAGGAAGGGCACACAGTGTGGGGGGGGGGGCGGGGATGGGCCTTCCGTGAGCGGCGTGGGGCCTGCACAGGTGCGTGCAAAAGAATGACACTAGACCGCCGGCTTGCACCACACACAAGAACAAGCTCAAAACGGGTTGAAGGCCCAAAGGTAAGGCCCGAGACCCCAGCACTAGAAGAAAACACGGGCAGTAAACTCGCTGGCATGGCTTTTAGCAATGTGTATGCATTTGGATGCGTCTCCCAGCGCACGGGGAACAAAAGAAAAAACACATGGGACGGCAGCAAACTGAAAGGTTTTTTGCACAGGGAAGGAAACTCAAAAGAAAAACTGAAAAGAAAACCTGAACGGGAGATGGTATTTGCCAAAGGGGTTTAACACCTAAGACATGTAAAGAACTCATGCAGCTTCACACCGAAAGGACAGACGACCCTTCCACATCAGAAGGGTGACTTCCGGTCAAACCACACTTCTCCAGAGGATGCACAGAGAGCCCGCAGGCACACGGAAAGACAGGCAACGTCGCAATGTCACTAACCGACGGGGACGCAAATTAACCCACGACCAGGTGCCGCCTCGCACCTGTCAGGGCGGCCACCACCAGCGCGTCAGCAAACAGCTGCTGGCGGGGGTGTGGAGAAAAGGGGACCCTCGTGCACTGTCGGCGGGGGTGCAAACTGGTGCGGCCACCGTGGAAAACAGTACGGAGGGTCCGCAAAAAACTACAGATGGAACCGCCTTACGACCCAGCAATTCCACCACGGGGCAGTTATGCGAGGAGCCCCAACACACTAATTTGAAAAGATACACGCACCCCCAGGTTCACTGCAACATCATTTACAGTAGCAAAGATACGGAAACATCCTAAGTGTCCATCGATGTGCACGCACGTATGGGAACACACACACAGACACACACACACACACACACCCTGGAGCGTGACTCAGCCGTAAGGACAGTGGAGTCTCCCCCTCCGTGACTCTGACGGACCTAGAGAGCACTGTGCTCAGTGAGGGAAGTCAGAGAAAGACAAACAGCCTATGACGCCACTCATGCGGAATCCAAAACACAAAACAGAAGCCGCCTCAGACCCAGAGAGCAGACTGAGGGCCACCGGAGGGGCGGGGCTGGGGGCGGGGCTGGAAGGGGGAGGGCCTGAGACCGGCAGCGGCAGAGCAGTCCCGGGGCACCCGACATGGCACCCAGCACAGCCAGTGCTGCTGCAGCAACTCCGCGTGGGGGCGGATGGTTACCAGACGAGGTGTAGCGATCGGTTCGTAAGGGATATAAATGTCTCATCTGGTGTGTGCCTGAGACTAGCATAATACCGAATGTCAACTATAATTGAAAATTTTTAAAAATTAAGAAGCACAGCATGATTGTCAATTGGCATAATGATAAGCTGAGCAACCAAAAAAAAAAAAGAACCCACTGAATTACACAACGAAGTCTACTTAAAGGAACAAAGGGGGATATCTCAGAGTGTTCAAGGTTTTGCTCAGAAAGGTCCAACTCGCGCAGTGGCAGTTGCCCTGGAACACGGGCCCTTCGCGATTTTAAGAGAAGAAAAAGCACAGGTGGTGCCCCAGCCTTGGCCTCGGAGCCTCTGTGTCTCCCTCCTAGCCCTCCCACCCACGGGAGGGGCTCGGAGCTCCTCCCCACTCCCCCCTGGAAGGGCTCTGGCACACACTCCAGGCCCCCGCACTCACCCTCCCGGGGAGTGGGGGCCCTGTCTGGCTGGTGGGTGGGGCACCGCCAGGTCCACCACAGACAGCAGGCACTCAGTCTGCTGCTCTGCACCCTAAGCCCTCGGGGCTGGGCCCCAGGTGGGGAGCCTGCGATGGCTCTGTGCCGCCCCGGGCTGGGGGCGCACCGGGACTGCACGGGACCTCTGTTCTCCAGGGGTCCATCGGCAGGGGGGCTGACAGTCTCCCTCCTCGCCTGCTGGCCGGCCTGCCCACAGCTGGTCTGGAACTCAGGTGGGGGAGGGTACGGTTTATTGTCCCCCCCCCAACCCAGTGCTGCTCACGCTCCTGCTTCTCAAACCCTGACTTCCTGGCGACCACAGTGACGGGGCCCTTGTTCCACAACACAAGAAGGGAGCCCGGGCCAGCTCTCTGCTTGCCCTCAGCCTCAGTGCCAGGGTCGGGCAGGGCCCTGCCACGCCCCTCCCTCACTCCCAGAGGGCCGCTGTGTGCAGCACCATCACCGGGGAGAGGTGCTGGCTTCCTTAAGGAGTCAGGTTCTCTTTGTGGGGGAGGGACAAGACAGCCCCCTCATTTCCCCTCCCCCTTACTCGGCTGTTGACTAGAACCTCATGCCTTTCAGCGAAGGGGGAGGGCTGAGAACAGGGACGTTTGTCTCACTCACAAAGCTTAGGAGCTTGGAAAACGTCCTTGGCGGACAGACCACCCATCAGCCTCAGACCGCAAGTGCCCCTACACTAAGCGGCACCCCCTGCGGGGAGGGTCTCGGGGCTGCGGGACGGGCGGCGGGGGCCCCTCACCCTGACGCCTCGTCCCAGTAGTAGTGGCTGCGGCCGGGCACGCTCTGTTCCACCTTCTCCATCTGCAGCGTCTTCACGAAGGTGCCCGTCTTCGCCGTCTGCTTCAGCAGGCGGTTGTGGACGTCCGAGAGGATGGAGAAGCTGGTGCCGCGCGGGTAGCAGAGCCCCACTCGGATCCAGTCGCCCCTGGAAACCAGGGCAGAGTCGGGATGTGCCGGCACGCGGGGCAGAGACCCGAGGACTCCCCGGGCACCTCCGCTTCGGCCGTGGGGGTCTGGGAGGGCACCTGCCGTTGGCAGCGGCCGAGTGGCCGAGTGTCCAAGGAGAGAGGGGGTCATCGAGCGGGGAGCTCCCTACAGAAGCCTGGCTGGGAACGGGCCCTCTTCCAGCGGGACCTCGGCCTGTCTGGAGGACCCGGGGCAGCCCCTTTCGGGAGCCTGAGGGCGGGGCCCGCGCGTGTCTCTGGGTCTCGCCTCTGTGTCTGGTCAGCGTCCGCCTCACAGGAGCGCGGTGCACAGAAGGCTCTCGGCCACAAACGTGGGGCGGGGAGAAGCAGGTTTGCAGTTATTGGCGTGGGGAAGGATGCGATAACTAGTAAGGGATAATGCAAGAAGAAACTGTTCCACGTACTCACAGCAGCACACCCACTTGTGCCCACCCTGTGTGCGAAGCCCCATCCCGACACCCCCAGACCCTGGCCCTGCCTGAGGTCCCTCAGCTGCGGTCCTGGGAGGGGCCGGTCTGGGGCTCCGCCGCCACTGGGGCCGCGGGCCAGCGCTCACTTGTTGAAGTTGATGAGCCAGATGGCGAGCTCGGCGGGGGCCGTGCGGTCCCAGTGGACGGTGTAGCCCTTCTGCAGGGTGACGACCGGCTGGTACTGCTGGTAGTGGGTGCTCCTGGTCAGGGCCCCCTCCAGGAACAGGGGGCGGCTGGGGGAGTCATTCTTGATGATCTTCATCCGCATGTTGCTGGTCTTGTAGGCCTGGATGTACATCTTCAAAACGGGAAAGGAAGCACAGGACGGCGCAGTTATGAGGGATCCCCCAGGAGCGCCTGGTCAGCATCCGACGAGAGACAGGCCGCCCTTTCCAGGGCACGCCCCTGCCCTCACAGAGCCCTCTCTGGGGGACCAGAGGGGAGGGGGCCACGTAAGGGCCTCTCTGTGCTGGCGGACGCGGCCCGCGCCGCACGGCGCCCCCCACCGACGCTCTGCGCGCATCAGGAAGTGCCGTGTGGAAGAGACCCCAGTGGGAAGTGGGGAGCGGTTTGCGTAATGGACGGCAAATTCTGGAAAAAGCCGGAGGAAGGGAGAGAACGTTCAGAACTCGGCTGCAAGTGCAGCTGCCCTCCCAGGGGCTGTCCTCCTGCCTGCGTCTGGGGAGAGCGGGGGCGAGTGGGGGTGTCCCTGCGCACTGGGTGTGTGAACGGCCTTTCATTTCAGAGACAAAACTGGACAAGACTGTCGGCCGTGGAGTGCCAGGGACCCCAGAGCCCGGGTGCTCCGGCCAGCCTCAGTTCGAGACAGCGTTCGACGCCACGTCCCCGTTACTAGGGTGACAGCCCTGGAGCGGAGGCCGAGAGAGCATGTCGTGCCCACGGGTGGCGGGGCTGTGCCCTGGGAAGGAAGGTGTTAGCGTCCCCTCCGGCTGCACCGCATGCCGAGTGGAAAGAGAAACTCCAGCCCTGCCCTCTCGGGGAGCTGTCAGGAGTGACGAACGTGTGAACGCAGATTAAAGCAACTGCAAAGCGAAGGGAGATTCTCAGTCATGATTAACCAGCAGCCAGTTACGGTGGCCGGGCAAGCTCTGACAGTCCGCCCTTTTCTGCAGAAGACGGGCAGTGGGTGTGGCGGGCAGGGAGGGAGGGGGGAGGTCAAGGTCAGGGCTCCAGGTGATGTGTCCCATCCCCGGCCCAGGGAGTGTGGATGCTCGCCTCACAGGCTCGGTCGCCCTTCAATCCAGAGGGCACCTGACGCCACTCCCCTTGGGGCCTTCCCTAGAGCGCCACCACCTCTGCTCGCACCCGTGGGCACCGAGCTCGCACAGGCAGCAGAGGCCTCCCCGCTCCGCTCCGGGGGCCGAGAAAACCCCTCTTCCGGAGCCCTGTGCGGTCTGCACTGGGCTCCCCACGCAGCCCGGCCCACTGTCCACGGTCTCCCCGGCCGGAGCTCTGCTGACCTGCCCGCTCCCTGCAGGCTGCCCTCGCACTGCTCTGCCCTCTCCGCTCACAACCTCCCTTCCACTGCAGAGAGAGACGCCCGGGGCTGGCTTCCGCCCCCACCTCGGGCCCGTCTTCCTCTGGGCCCCCCTGCTAAGCACCAGCCCCCCAGCGACTCCCTGGCGCCCCGTGTCCTCCTGGCCCCAATGGCCCTGTCCCCTCAGCCCGGCCCCAGCTCCCTCTCCTGTCTCTTCCCAAACCCAAACCTCCTTCGGCTCTTAACACCCCGCCTCCTGACGTCCACAGCGGGACAGCGGCGAGGACACTGCACTCTCTCATCTGCCCACGTGCGCCTTCGGCCTCCACTCAGCTGCTCACCAGCCACTCACCCAGGCGGCGGCAGTGAGGACGGCGTGACAAGGGCTACCTCCCGTTTTCGGCTCTGCCGCGGTCGGGACACCAAGCCTGCACTGCCCCCCACACCAGCCGTGGGCCACCGGCGGCCACTCGGCACGGGCAACACGGCGCGTGTGCCTGAGGACCTGAACTTTAAGTGTCCTTTTAATCAAACTCAAATTTCAAAACAGAATCTGTGTAAAATTCTTTTCCCCTCGACACGACTAACGTTTACTTCGTGGACAACCTGCACCCGAGCTGAGCGGGCGGTGAGCACCGCGTGCGGGCAGCACAGTGCCCTGAGGGCGCCGGGTCGGACAGAATGTGTCGCTGAGGCCAGTGTCGCCTGTTCTCCCTTCTTGGGCGGCCGCGAGGCCGTTCAAGACCACAAGGGGCTTCCGCTCCAGTTGGGAGGAGAGTGCTGGGGGAGCAGCCCGCACGCCACCGAGGGACGCACCCCACGCTCAGTGAGGGGCTCCACGAGCACCCCGCCTTCCAGGCGAGGAAGCCGAGGCTCCCAGCGTCTGAGCACCCTGCCCAGGTCACGCTGCCAGCGGGAGGCGGAGCCTGGCCTGGATCCACGCCGCGACCCGACCCTCCGAGCGCTCGCTCGTCAGCGTGGCGCTCACAGAGCGTGTGCACCTTGAGTTCTCTGACAGCCTCGCCCTGGCTGGCGGCCCTGCTGGCGGGAGCGCCACCCCGTCACCAAAGGTGGTGGGTTTGATGCCGAGTCAGGACACGTCCAGGAGGGCGACTGGTGGGCGTCTCTCACGTGGACGCCTCTCCCTCCCGCCCTCCCTCCTCCCTGCAGAGTCAGCACGTACACCCTCAGGTGAGGGCTAAAAAGAGGTTCTGCTGGGTGGGCAGGAGGGGGCGGGATGAAGGACGGAGACCAGAGCAGCCTGCGCCTCCCTGGCCCGGCGCAGGGCCCGGCGCGCAGCAGGCGCTCCCCCCAGACGGTCCCGCGCCGAGCGACCCCGGACCCCAGGGAGGCGAGCCCTCGCGGCCCCACCTGTGCCCTCGCGCCCCCACCTGTGCCCTCGCGGCCCCACCTGTGCCCTCGCGGCCCCACCTGTGCGTAGCGCCCGCTGCAGATGGCCCCCCTCCAGTCGGGGACGTCGATGCAGTCCGGGTGCCGGACCAGCCAGTTGTCGGCCTTGGTGAGGTAGGAGCCGGGGTACTCGGACACGGAGCCGTCCACGTCGTGGAACACCGACGTCTTGTCCCCGTCCATGTCCAGCCGGTTGAACCAGGGCCCGGGCTCCCCGAAGAACACTCTGGAGGTGATCTAAACGGAGCCCAGGCAAGTCAGGGGGGCCGAGACGGGAAGGGAAACTACAGCTGCCGCCGCCGCCGCCGCCGCCGGTCCCGGGCGAAGTTTCCCATTTCCGCTGACGCGGCGCGCCAGCCAGACCAGAGGCGCTCTCGGGCACTCGGGGGACCGCAGGGCTGGCCTCTCCGACGGGGACGGAAGGCGGCCACAGCCTCGCCGTGCCTCGGCTCCCAGGCCCGGCCTGCTGTGCTGGCCTCCGCCCGGGGGAGGGCTGGCCACCGAGGGTGGCCTGCAGGCTGCCCTGGGCCCCGGGGACCCAGGCGAGCGTGTGTGTTTCAGCGTGTGAATGAGACTGAGGGACGGGAAGCGAGCGTGAGGGAGTGGACGCGCACTGGTGGGGGCGTGTGTGAGTGTGTGCTGAGTTTCAGGAAGACGGTCTTTCCACACGAGCCCCCGGAGAGTTCCATGATGGGCCTCGCGCAGGCCCTGGCGGCCTGAGGGAAGAAGTTAGGTAACTGAACTCTCACGTCTCCCCCCTCAGCCCGCCACAGCCGGGCGGGCGGGCAACGGGCACGGGCAGAGGGGGAGGGGGAGGACAGGCCTGGGAAGCCTGTGACCCACAGGAAGCGCACCAGGAGGTCTGGGCCTGCCCAGTCCCCAAGGGCAGCCCGCTGTCCGACCTCGTCACCCCCAGCTGCTACCTCGTCAGCTGCCTGTGGCCAGAAGGCCCCCGCGTATGGTCTGCTCTCAGGAAGAGACTGAACACAGCATCTTCGGCAGAGATTCCCTTAGAAACTGCGGGTTTTGGATTAATTGTGCCCACACAGGCGGCCCAGGCACAAGTCCCGGGTCAAAGCAAGACGTGTGGAGGAGCAGCCTCAGAAGCGCGAGCCCAGCGTGCAGGCCCTGCGCAGGCCAGGCGGGCTCCGGGCAGGGGGCAGGGGGCGGGCGAGCAGGCCCCACCCCCGCCCGACCCATGGGGCACCCACGCCCGTACTTTTCCAGTCTGGACGCAGCCAGCACTGGGACGGGGCCCAGCCCGCCCGGAGGAGGCGGTTCAAGCCCTGCGGCGGAGCGGCCGCTCAGCGCCAGCCCCCGGGGACTCGTGACTCACCGCCCGAGTCTGGCCGCTCGGCGCCGCACTCACCGGGACATCCTCGAAGGTGACGCCGGTCACGTTGTTGTGGGGGCAGCTCTGCCAGGCGTTGTTCAGGCGGAAGGCCAGGGCGCTGGTGTGCCGGCCCTCCAGGGCCGCGAACTTGCGGAAGGTGCAGTTCTGGATGCTGATGGGGCCGTCGTAGAACTGGATGCCTCGGATCGGAAAGTTCCTGCGCAGTCAGGGAAGGCCAGGTCAGGCGAGTCCCCGTGGCTGCGCCCTCCGGGGCGGGGCGACAGGGGCCTGCCCGAGCGACTCCTGACCCCCACCCTCGGCAGCTGCCCCTCCGGAGAACACAGCCCCTCCTTCGTGGGTTCCCCGGGAAAGCGGTCAGGGACCTGGTGACTGTCAGTAAAGGAGGGAGAGACGAATGAGCGGAGGGATGCTGGAGGGACAGGTGACAGATGCACAGATGGACGGACGGACGGACGGGGGATGGGGGATGAACACGTGTAGCTGCTGGCTTAGTTCTGGGGACCGTCCTCTATTGCAAACCGACTTTTGCACCCTGCAAAGAGTCACTGGGCAGACACCATCAGTGCTGGGGGAGCATGCCCATGCTGTGTCCCCCGGGGAGGGAGAGCCATTACTCACTATCGCCTCACTCTCAGCTGCTGCAACCATTTAAACAGGTTAAGACTCAGATGGGTTTCCTGTCTGTGAGCAAGCCTTTCGGCTGGGGGTACACTGGATTGGGGGAGCAGAGTGAAGTGGGCAGGACGGTGGGCTGCCCGAGGACCCCCGTTCGGCCCAGGTGCCCGGAGGAAGGGAGGGGGCGCAGGCTTGGTGACGGAGGTGGTGGGGCCGGAGCAGGACTGCAACCTGGAGACCCTGCCCGGGGCGCAGCGGGGGCAGGTGCTCAGAGACCCGCTCCATTTGCCTGGGGCTCCTGAGTGGGGGGTGGGGGCAAGGGCCTCCGAGGGGCCCGGGGCTGGGCTTCCCGGTGGCCTTTCTGGTCCCGGCCCCAAACCTGGGCTCACTCACTCTCCAAGCGCCATTTTTCTGCTTTTACTGGTGTCTCTAGCTCTGGGCCAGGGCCCTCTCCTTTCACAGTGGCCATGAGGAAGGGCAGAAAGATGGAGAAGAACGCAGGAGCGGATCTGTCCGTGGGAGGCGCCACGCCCCCGCTGCCCCATCACCACTCGGGGCCCTCCACGCAGGCACGGTGCCCGGAGGAAGCCCTGGTCACGCCGTGCTGGCCACGTGCCTCCAGGGGACACCGAGCGCCTCCCACACTTCTGCGTTACTACTAACTGACCGACATCACAGCCTCGCGCCCTGACTCTCACGGCTGGCGCGTGCATTTTTCCACTTCAGGCACCTTCAGGCCAGCCCGTCCCCCCGGGCCCCACGCTTAAACTTCAGACCCCAACCCAGAGGCAGACGGGACGAATCACCCTCAAAGAGGGCGGCACGGCCCCGGGCTCCTGCGCACGAGCCAGCTGGGCCCTGCCCGAGTCCCACAGGGCTGCCGGGCTGCCGCCGACGGCCGCACCTCTGGGAGCCGTCGGAGCGCTCCGGGCCTGGGAGGCGGGCGACCCCCAGCAAAGAGGCGCCCACTGTGCAGCCCCAGACGGGCTCACCAGACCCGTCTGACGGGACTGCTGCCTCACTGAGGCGGGCAGGACAACGGCTCCCGTCTCGACACCGGCACTGAGACCGAGGTTCTGTCTGCAAAATCCCTTCAGACTCGCACACCCTTCACTGTGATCGTTCTGCCCGTGTCCTGCCCACCCAGGCGGGAAGGATGCTTTTCTAGAGTGCGAGCCCAGAGCTCGGGGGCTGGAGGGGCTGGTCCTAGCACCTGAAGGACGGGCCACGTTTCAGCAGCAGCGCCCCCCGCAGGGAGCAACCCCTCACCACCGGCCCCCCGGGCGGAGGCGTCCCCAGGAACGGCCGAGTCCAGGTGCCCTGCTGGCCTGTCAGCGCTGCTGGTCCCCACCCCACCAGCCATCGCGGACCCTCCAGCGTCTGCCCGAGCCCCTGCTGCACGGCGCCGGCCCCAGACCACCCTGCTACTCGGGGGCTGAGCAGATCTGAGAGCTGGAACAGGCTTCCCAGCACTGAACCCGTCCTGGCCCTCAGGCCCGAGCAGAGCGCATGCAGCCCTGATGGTACCCCCCGCCCCGCGAGGGGCCCCCACCCGCTGGCTGCGAACCCCGATCTGCCTGTGACACGGGCTGCGTCGGGCCGCCCTCCCGGCCATTCTGCCTTCCGAGTGCTTGGGCCCCACCCTCTGTGACACCCTCAGAAGAGCACGAAGTGCTCCCTGGGGACATGACCCCGAGGACACAGGGACCTGCTCGCTGGTCCTGAGCTGGAGTTCCTGTCGGCGTGGCCCAGAGCCACACAACGCCCTTGGCGGCCAGGTGGCCCTGCCGGCTCACGGTCACGCGGTGTGACCTCCCGTGTGCGTGCTGGAGTCCACCCGGCCGGCCAGCCCCGCCCCAGCGCTGCCGTGGTTTCTCTGGCCACGCCTCCGAGGAACCACAGACGAGTGTCCTTCCTCCCCTGGCTGGTGCTCAGGCTAAGCCACATTGCAAACCTACTGGCCTATGGGGAGGGTCCTTCCGCTGTGGTCCAAGCCTCCAGGGCCCCAGATCCTGTTGTCCATCATCTCGGTCCCCACGTTGCCGCTCTCGCCGACAAACAGGCTGTTCTTGATTTCCTGCTTGGAGCCGTCATCGTACGGGAAGGTCCCGCCACTGCAGGGAGCAGAGGTGAGGCTGAGATGCCGGCCCAGAGACAGTGCCCCCCCACGGAGGGCCCAGCACAGCAACCAGCGGGCTTACCTGGCCAGGGTCAGGCCGATGCCGTTGTCAGCAAACCTGGGGACAGAGCAGGCGGTCAGAGCGTGCTCTCGCTGGGGTGGGCAGGAGGTGCCTGTGCCCTGGAGTCCCACTGCCACTGCTGTTTGCTGAGGAGCCTGGGCGCCTTTTAGGTGCCCCCCCGCCCCACACTCCACCTGACTCCGAAGGGAAAGGGTCATCGCACAGCAGCGTGAAGCCGGGGATCCCGGGCCTCCGTCTCCGGCGACCCCAGGGCTCGGCGGGCACCGGGCCAGGGCCACGTGCAGGGCCCTGCTCTGGGAAGACGAGCGCGCCCTGCCACCCCCGGGGCTCCGCCTGAGGTCCTCTCTCCCTCCGCCGGGTCCCTGGGGACCTCGCAGGGACTGCTGGCTTCCATCCCACTGTCCGCCGGTGACTGTCCCTCCTGTTTTCCCCAGATCTGGGCATTTCCACGAAGTACCTCACAAGCACCTCAAGCTCCAAGCCCTCAAAGGGACCCCCATCCTCTGTGAGCCCAGACTGTGCCGACCCTTACCCCACTCTGCCATCTCCGCTCTCCCCGCCCGCCCCGAGTGCCGCCCCTCTCTATGCCAACGCCCCACGACTCTGACTCACCGGCAGCTGTCCAGCCACACGTCCCCGCCGCGCAGCCAGGCCCCGTGGTCCTGGTTCTTGTAGGCGGTGAAGTGCCTGATGATGGCCGGCTCCCGGGGCTTCAGCGGGTCGGCGTCCTGGTGAGGGCTGTACCTGGCGGCACGGTGCGGGGCGGCCCAGGGGTCAGCGAGGGGGTCCCGGGCGGAGCCCCCTCTGGGCTGTGAGCGTCCCTCCGCTCGCAGGGCCCACGAGACTCTGCCGAAACGCCACCTCATCCCTTCCTGGGGTGCAGGAGTGAACGTCCTGAGCTCCAGGCAGAAGCAGCGGGTCTCTCTCTCCGGGGCCCGGGCCCAGGCCGGTGACACACAGTCACTCCGCTTGTTCTCCGCAGCACTGGGGGGCACTCCCCGCCCCAGGCCGGCTGAAGCGCAGAGGAAAGTTCAGAGTCCCAGACCCAGCACGCCCTGCAGCCACAGGGCGGGGAGGGAGGCGCCAGCCCCCCAGCACCTGGGGGTAACCTTGACCCGGAGCCTTTTCTGCGCCTCAGCTCCCTGGGCAGAGAAAGGAGCCTGGAGCTCCGAGGCTCACAGATGTCCACTCCAGCAAGTGTCTCCTGAGGACGTCAGGACGTCACTGGTGTCACTTTAGATGGAGACCAAGCAACCTGGCCTTTTTAAAGGGACGAGTTTTCCTGACTCCCTGGAGGTTTACAAGTAGCCCCTGGCCTCTGGCAGCGCCCCAGATGTGCCCACAGCTGCAACCCGCGCATTCCTTCTCTTTACATCAACACGGAGACTCTTCCCGCCTTTCCTTTCCACGTTTCGATCCCAGCCCAAGCTGCTGTGGCCCAGGCCAGTGGGCCTGGGTATTGCCTCCTGATGAAACCCCAGTTCAACCCTAGTGCTGACATGCAGGCTTTGTGCTGTCTAGACTCTCACCACAGTCCCCGAAGCAACTGGCTCAGCACGCAGGACAACAGCTGCCCGATGGAGGAATGCATGCACGCATGAATGAATGAAGAAATCCACGCATGAGTGAAGAAATGAAAGAGTGCGTGAATGAATGAATGCATGCATGAGTGAATGAAGGAAGGAATCCACACATGAGTGCATGAATGAAGGGGTGCATGAATGAAGGAAGGAATCCATGCATGAGTGAAGGAAGGGGGCTTACTCCCGGTCCCCAAGCCCTGATCACCTGGCAGAGATGATGGAAAGAAAGGGCCGCTTGTCCTTGGCAGAGGCCTCGGTCGTTTTGACGCCATTGTCTATGATCATGCCAGCCTGAGGAGGGACACAGGAGGGACGCATTCAGGGACATGCTGGCTTCCGCTGCAGGACAGACATCTTCTCGCCCTCCCCCACTGCATCGTCCTGAACGCCCCAGGAAAACCAGCCTTGCTGTGTCCTCTTGGAGGTGCAGGGGAGAAAGCTGAGGTCTGTGGGGGTTAAGGACCTCGTCCAAGGCCACTGGGCGGAGTCCCTGCACCCAGCACGCACACGGCTTCTGGGCCAAGTCAAGGGGGATGCTGCTGCTCTCCTGGGCAGTGTGTCGGCAGCGCTTTAGAGGGAATGCTGAACTCCAGTCCCGTTTTCACCTTGGCGCGGAGGCCTGCGGCCCTCCCGGGCCTTGCCTCAGATCCCACCTGACTCAGGGAAGAGCCTCACTTTCTTCTGTGGCTCCAAGGTGCCCGCGTGTCAGCCACGGCGAGTGGGAGCCAGGGCAGCTGGGGGCGCTGCCCAGTGAGGCACGTCCCTTCCTTCCCCGATTCCCCTGGCCTCTCGGGAACGCCCGAACTCAGGGTTCTCTTGTTTGGATCACTGGCGGTCACTCCGGCTACCGCGTCTGCCAACTGACCTCTGGCGCAGCCCCTGGGATGTGAGCCAGGTGCAAAGCTGGACTCCCGGCTCCTCTCTCCCGAGCTAGGATGTCCGGCCCCCTCACCTCTGAGGCCTCAGCTGCTGCCTCTGGGAGACGGGCAGTGAGTGCCCATGGTGGCCCAGGTGCACGGCCCTGGATGGGACCCCGCACGTGCAGGCGGTGGGGCTCCCCAGGCGGGAGTGCCACGCACCGGGCCTCCTTGGCTCGGACATCCGGTCCCTCCACTTCAAGCCTCCTCTTCCCTCCTGTCCTACCTGCCACCTTCCTCGAGGCCCCTCCACCTGTGCCCGGGACCGTGGCCTATGTCCCATGGGAAACCACCCTCCCCACGTACCCGCACCTGTTCCAACCTTTGCAAACTCCCAGGTCCAACAGAGCCACCGGCCCCTCATGGGAAGGTCCCCAAGGGACCTGACAACCGCCAATACCGTCTCTCCCCGCCCCTCCCCCCAGCTGTATGGTCTGTCCTGCATGGAGACAGGCCCCTGCGGCCCAGGGCAGCCTCAGAAATGCCCCTCTGAGGCCTGGCTAATTCTCTCTGTCGGGAGGCACCGTGGCCCTCCTCACCTCTGCCCTCTGCCCCACGAACCAACTGTCTTCTTCCTTAGCTTCTGGGGTGTGACCCTGCCTGGGGTCCTCTGTCGGCCCACCCTGCCCAGCGCCCCCCAGGCCGCCCCTGGGTGCAAGCACAGGCCACTCTGAGAGCAGGTCTCTTCCCTCTGGCCTACTCCCCAGTGGCTTCTGACCCGGAACGTGCCCGTCCTCCTCGGGGGCCTCAGCTCACTCATCTGCACCATCCGGGGTTGGAACGGGGTACCGGCCCTGACACCCGGGGCTCTGTGGGCATGGCCCCCACGGCCCCAGGCCACCTCTGCCCCGGAGCAGCTCCCTTGCCCCGGTCTCTGGTCTCGGCACCGCCCAGGCTGGGGACCCAGAGACACTCACCCGGTAGTTGGAGTGGGCTCGGTTGTTGAGGAACCTGCCCAGGGGGCTGTGCTCCGAGTAGCCCGGGGAGTACATCCCCGCCGAGGGGCCCGTCGGCACGTGGTGGAAAATGAACCAGAATCCCGTCTCCTGGGAGGGAAGGAGGGAGGGAGAAGCCACAGGACTCAGTACCAGCCAGCCTCTCGTCAGGGGGCCCGAGTAGCCCCAAATTTCCCGTCGGGTCCCACCGCCCACCCTTCAACACAGGCCTGGGAAGCAGAGAGAAGTCGGAAGCCGATGCGCTTTGCGAGGGCCACCCTGGCTGTGAAGACCCCCCAACCAGGGCCGGCTCTGCCAGCCACGGGCTCCACCTCCTCCTGGCACATCACAGGGGCTTCGAGTGTGTTCCCAGCTTCTCCCTGGTCACTCACTCCACGTGGAGCCGAGGCCTGGGGGCCGCAGGCAGGGGTGGGCGAGAGCAAGGCCGTGTGCGCCCTGCGAGTGCCCGTCCTGAGTCCTCGCCCGCCCAGCGGCGGGCGGCAGCAGCCCTCTCACCCAGTCAGCAAGAGAGGCACCTGATTTCAGCCCGTTAGAGCACTGACCTCCCAGGCACGGTTCTAAGCAACAACCCTTTCGATCTGGTGATGGGTTATCACACGTAAAACATCGCCTTGTTCTCGGCGATGAAGGCACGGCCATCGCTGACAGCCAGTCCTTCTCGCTCTGAGCTGGGGTTCAGAGCTCAGATTTTGGGGCTGGCCCTGGCCCCCCGAGCCCCCGCCTCCCACCCCACTTTGCTCCGAAGAAGAGAGTCCTGCTCACCTCGGACCCTGCAGCAGCGCAGTTCACGAGGTTGTTGTTGGGGTTGGCCATCCAGAAGGTGGACACACCGCTGCGGGGGAAGGATGGCGTCAGACGGGGCCCCACCCCACCCCGCACAGCCACAGGGGCCGAGCCAGGCTCTCCAACAGAGGCCCCCAGAGGCTGCGGAGTCATGGACTGTCTGGGTATGAGCCCCAGTGTTCTCACGGGGGCAGGGCACACTCAAGCACTGACGGTGTTCAGAATTTGACACGGGCATGGCTCTTCAAGGTGGACGCCGGGTGCAGCTGAAGCCTGAGACAGGCTCTAAAATAATCCAAGTCAGGAGAACCAGGAAGGGGGCGTTTCCCGGGGGGGCCTGGGACTCAAGGCCGGCCCCGTGGGGAGCTCTGTCTCTCCCACGTCTGCAGGCGACCAGGGCGGCTGGTGCCGATGCGCACTCGAGGGGCGCCAGGGGCAGCCTGCTCTCCGCGGGGAGCACACCTCCTGGCATCAGGAGAAGCTGGAGGGCGAGAACCGCGGTCCTCTGTGGACAGAGGATGCACACGGGGCACCTGAGAAGAGAATCGCCCCTCCCCTCTGAGCAGCAGGTGGTTTGGGGCCGGGGGTTCCCGCTGCTCTGAGCCCAGGTGTGGGCGTCAGCCCTGGGCTGGAGTCTGGGGCCCTGGCGCGGGCGTGGGGGATACTTACTTGCAGTCCTGCCGGGGCTTGGGGACGTAGCCCGGGTACGAGTCCTCTGTGATCGTCTTGCACATCCTGCTGTCGCGGTCAGAGGGCAGGAGGGTCCCAGACTTGACCAGGAGGCCGAGGCAGTGGTCAAAGGTGTTGCGTTCCTCCGGCCCGTCCTCCGTGAAGAAGCAGTGGCCCAAAGAGTTGTAGCCCACCACGTCCTTGACCTGCAGGGGCCCAGAGAGGGGGGTGTTTCAGCCCTGTCCGATGCCTCACGGGCCCGTCCGCTCATCCAACACTCATCAAACCGCATCCGCCGCACCCCAGGCCCTGTAAGGGGCCCTGGGGGTTGGACATGGGCCAGACACAGGTGTGGAGCCTGGGAGGGCCGGGCAGAGGGGTAAGCAGGTGACTTCAAAGCCCCTTCCAGCTGGAGGTGTTGCGGCTGAGGCTCCATGGGGTGGGACAAGGACAAGATGTTAGAGGCAGGCCGGGGCGGGGGGCAGCAGACGGGGTCCCCCGAGCCTGCTCCGGCGAGGACGCAGCGGGAATGCAGTGCGCAGGCCCTAAGGCAGAGGGCTGCACGCAGGGGCCCCACTGGGAAGGCGGTGAGCGGGAGCCTCGCCGGGCCCAGCCGCAGCGCGCACAGGTGGGCCTGCTCCCGACACTGGCGCCGGCCCCCTCAGTAGGCGCTCAGCCCCGAAGCCAGCCTGCCTCACAGCTCACAGCGCGCCCCCGGCCCCCCGGCTGCGGCCCCCCGGCTGGGCCCGGAAAGGCTGCCAACTCCCGCTCCTCACGGCTCTGCCACTGCCAGGCCGGCACGCCGTGGGAGCGCCCAGAGCCGAGAGCCTGCACGTCCCAGCCCCGCACTGGGCTCGTGCGCCTTTTACTCCGGCCTAACTCCTGCCCCTTCCTGTAACAACTACTTTGTAGATGAGGACAATGGGGCTCAGAGAAGGGGAGTGATTTGCCCGAGGTCATGCGGCCCGTGTGCCAGCCGGGGCGGGGGCCACAGCCACCCCTGCGGGAGGTCACCGAGCACACGGGGAGCCTGGGGCTGGCACTCCCCCCAACTGTGATCTCCAGCACCAGCCCAGGACTGGCACTCGACTCCTGCTGCGTCCCCCTCGAGCACGTCCCGCAATGCTGAGTGCCCCGTGACGCTGCCGCCTTCCCCCTGGTGAGCTGGGCAGGTTCACCGCTAACCGCCCAGAACGGCAGCACGGGGGGAAGGGGCCAGGGAAACGGGGCTGCTCGAGCTGGCAGGGACGTCCGAGGGCAAGGTCAAGGCCTCACTGTCCTGGGGCCGCCAAGAAGAGGGCCTGTTCCCCCACTTCCAGCTGGGTTCTGTGCCTCCTCCCGTCTCTTACCCCATCTGCCCGTGGAAGCCCTGGCCGGTGGAGCCTGTGGCAACACCAGCGACCAGAGGCTGGTTCCTCGCTCGAGCTCACATGGGAAGGAGACACGAGCATGGCTGCACGAACCACGAGGCTAGACGCTGGGTGGAGGGGAGCCCAGGGAGCCCAGCAACCTCTGCCCCAGCTCCCGGAGCTCTGAGGCTGGGAGACAGGGCACCAGCCCCCCTGCCCTGCACACCGGGCAGGGGCAGGGGGCTGGCAGGTGGACTCCACCCAGAGCTGAGATGCTCCCTCCCCGACTGGGGGCCAGAGAGCACGCAGGCCTTGCGCCCGGATGGCCAGGGTCTTCCGGTTCCAAGAGGCTGTCCAAGGCGCTGGCTGCCTGGATCGACCTCTGCTGGGTTCCCACTGGAGCCTGTCTGGCTGCTCCCCGGGCCGGTGCCCAGCGGGCCTGTGGCCCTTATCAGCTCCGACACCCGGCTGGTGCCGCCTCTCCCCGCCTCTCCCTGCCCGCGTCCCTGCTGAGACGCAGACCGGGGCTCGGGCTCCAAGGACGGTTTCCCGTCACAGAGACGGCCAGAAACGCCGCGCAGAGGCAGCCGTCGAGTTTTCCACAGCACGTTGCCCGAGGCCACGCAGCGAGTGGGCCCGCCCTGCGCCCACACTGCGTGCGGGGCGGCCTGAGGCCCTGCGCGGCTGCCACGCGGACCGACCCAGCTCTGCAGTCCACCGCGAGTTGTCTTAGTACCTTCCTCTTCAGTGAAGTGAGACACAGGTGACGGGAAGCGAAGTTCGAGGACAAAACTTGAGAACGAATGAACGCCTGGAACCAGTAACGCTCCTCAGGTCAGGCCTTCCGTACGCACGCCCACGTGGCTCCTTCCCAGCACACGCCCCGAGCTCCACGCCCGCCTGAACGAGAGCGTCCGTAGCTGCTGCCTTGTGTTCGTCCCGCAAAGCCCCAGACCGGGCGCCGCTCCCGGGCCGAGTGCGCCCGGCCCTGCACCCGGTTCCCACAACAAGCCCACGGGACAGGCACGGAGGAGGAGGCAGAGGCAGGCAGAGGCGCCACGATGGCCCCGGCCCACTGCTGGAGAGGGGCTGGCCAGTGGGCCAGGGTCCCAGCCCGCACCGTGCCCCCCCCCACTGCCCTCTGACGGTCTAGATGCATCGTGATCCCCGCCGTCTTCCCGCTGCCCCCAGCATCACTCTCCCCCGCTGCCTCCGTGAGCCAGAAACAAGTCTCACGTCTTCTGGCCACTGCTCCAGACTGGGTCCTCTCGCCACCCGGGGTGGGGGGGGCCGGCCCAGTTCCTGGGCGACAGGCCCGTGGGAGCCCTCCCTCGTGCACGGCACCTGCCGGGCCGGCGTGTCTGGTGTCCTTTCCTCGCCCGACTGAGTCGGGACCGAGGGTCGGGGAGGGGAGGCTGCTGCCCACGGTCCCACAGCCCACGCCCCGGCGGCCGGGTCCTGGAGCCCAGGCCCTTCTGGACTGGGCCCCGAAGCCCACGCCCCGTCCCCTGCGCCCAGCGGGGTTCCAGTCACAGAACGCAGGACAGAGACAGCGGGCACTCCTCGGTGACAGACGAGCACACCCAACAGAAGCGAAAGAGGCTTCCCAGCGACAGGCTGACAGCCTCTTCATCCCCCTCCCTCACCGGCCTGGTGGGAGGGACGTCCGCTCTGGTTTAAAGCCCGAGTCACAGAGGCGGGTGTCCTGGGCGGCACTGGCCGGGGAGTTTCCTGAAACGCGCTGCACAGCGGGGCCTCCGCGACTCTGACCGGCAGGAATGTGGGCCTGGTGCTGCCAACTCAGCTGACTTCTCCAGAAAAGCCAAAAATCCAGACTTCTGTGTGAAATCTCCCAACTTTTAAATGATAGAAACGAATCTGAGTGTTTCTTTAAACAGTCTTAAAGCCAAGCAAAACACATCTGGTGGCTGGAGTCAGCTCTCAGGGTGGCATTTTGCGACATCCGGTTTTAAAGTTCATACAGGGTGTAAGTTCAGTCCATTTAAAGGAAGTTCAATTTAGTGTAAAATTATCAGTTTAGCGTAAAAACGACCAAACGCTTCTCTAAACACCGCCTGAGCCAAATCAAACGCAGGCTGAGCCCGCCCGCGGGGTGCCGTGTCGTAGCGTCCCGTTGGAAGCGTTCACAGAGAACACGGGTTCGTGTGAGGGGGAACCGACTCGGCGTGAGCGCCAGCTGCAGCTCGAGACCAGCCCTGACGCAGACGCCAGTCTGCTGAGGGCGTTCCTCCCAGCAGCACTTGCTCTGACGGACCGACCCTCGGTTTACCGGGACAGGCAGGCCCGCCACCACCGCCGGCTCGGTCGTCCGGGCACGGCCCCCTGTGCGCGGCGAGCACACCTGTCGTGCCACATGGCCGCAAGGCCACGGAACCACCTGCCCCCGTGCGTGGACTCCCAGCGCCCACCGCGCACTCTGTGCCTGCTGCTCCGGGCGACCGGACACCCGTTCTCTCCGGCCCCTCTGGCCGGCGGCCTGCTGTCAGTGCGAACCACTCCAAGGCCGAGGTGAGGCCGGCTCTGCCCCTGGCGGCCCCGGGCTGCGTGGCGGGATGCGAGCCCCGTTCCGCGCTCGCGGCCCCTGGGCCCAGCAGTGTGTGGACTGGCGTGGCCGGGGAGGGGCAAGGGCCCTCGAGGACCTCCCCCCCTGGGCAGGAGGCACTCACCAACAGGCCATTGGAGCCGTGGACGGTGACACAGCGGGAGAAGGTGTGGTGGATGGACAGGTCCCGGACGTAGGTGGGCGGGTGGTAGCCGCCCTGCTCATCCACGTCGCCAGCCAGGTGGAAGTGAATCGGGTACTGGCCCACCAGCTGCTGCCCCATGTGCTTCAGCTCCACGCCCTCCAGATGTGCCGCCTTAAAGCCCAGCGCAAACTGCGGACACAGAGGCCAGAGTCGGGAGCAGCCTGGGAGGCGTTCCCCGGCCCCACTGCTGCCCACACTCCCGTACCGTCCACGTGCTGTGTTAATCCCGCCTCAGGAAAACCAGGGACGGTCCCTGGGCCCCGGCCTTCCTACCCCAAGGGAGACGAGGTGCTCCCTGACCACAGGGATGTGGCAAGGCAATGGCCTGGCAAGGGAGGGGTGCAGAGAGACGGGCTCACCCCCACCCCCCTTCCCTGCCTCCGAGGCCGCGGGCGGTTACGAGGAAGGGGAACTGCGTGGGGGTGGTTGTGGTGGGGACACAGCCCTGGATGAGCGCCCCCCCACGTGCCAGGAGGGTCCGCGCTCGGTGGGTTCCACTCTACGGTTCTTCTCAGTTACTGACCAAAACGTCTTGTCCTTACAGCACGTGGTTTTAGCTGCGAGAGAACTGTCCTCACAAGACCCCAGGACCCTGTCCTTCTGTCGGCTTTCGCCCCACCGCTGATAGCAACGGCCACGTGGAGGGTGCTGGGCCCCTCGTGCTGACCAGCGCCCCAGGTAAGCAAGCGGCTGTGCGCAGCCTGGCCAAGCAGATGCCTCCCGCAGCCTAAGGCCGGGAGGAGGCAAGCTCGGGCGCCCGCACCGTGCTCCTCTCCCTGAGGTGCGCCGTCTCAGTCACTGCTGGCTCTCTGCCCGGACACGCACAGGGTGGGTCAGTGCCAGAGCTTCCGGCCCTGCTCACCCCTGATCTGCCTGTCAGCAGGTCTCTCATGCACAGGCCTTTTTGTGGGTGTCATGCCCTGACCCCTTCTGTCAGGGAGGGATCAGGGTCAAATTGTGAAGACAGGGAATGAGCCACGACTGGGGTTGGAGGTCGGGAAGGCAGGCAGTGCGGGGTGCCGGGCTGTGGCCAGGGAGTCTAGGGCCATCCCCAGGTTGGCTCCACTGTCTCTCCTGCCCGCAAGCTCTGATGGGCGGGACGGCATGCAGTGGGCGATACAGAAGCCTTCTCCAGCTTCCACAGGTTCCCCTGCCCCGGTCCCTGCTCCTGCCCCCGCATGTGCCCCCCCCCCCCAGCAAGAATCCCACCCACGGGCATCACGGGAATTCTGGTGGGGCTGCTGGCCTCACCCTGGAAGACCCTACCTTGATGTGGCCCCCGAAGGTATCGAAGTCAAAGAAGTCGCAGATGTGGTTGCTGTAGGGGTAGCACGCGCCCTCCATCGCCCCCATGATCACGATGTTCCGGGTCAGGAGCCCCACCTCGGCCCGCATGTCCACGCCGTCGATCTCCTCCCCGATGTGCAGGTACACGGGCTTCCCTGGGGCAGCAAGGGGGGAGGGAATAAACCAGAGGGACTGCGTGGGCCCCAGGCCCTGCCAGCTGCCTCCAAGCTCCTGCTGGGGTCCCAAGGGCCCCGGCCCCACTGCACAGAAGAAGGAAGGAAGCTCAGGGAGGCGACATCGCTTGTCTGAGTGGAGAGGCAGGGTCCGCGGCCACGTGTGCTCAGATCTGAAGCCTGTGGCAGACATAGCTCGGTGGCCCCCACGTCTGTCCCCTTTTCTGCCTGTGGCACTAAAATCTCCAGCACTTCGGGGAGACCCGTGCTCCCCAGGAGGGCCCCCTGTCCCAGGCCCCCTGCGGTGGGTGTGCTCCCAGGATGGGCAGAAGCGACCTGTGCACCCTCAAGGGGCCCCGCTCCCGCTCTGTCCCCTGGGCTGGAATGTGGACACGTGGGGTGGTCCAGGCTTCCCCAGGCGGCGAGGACCACGCCCTGGAGACGGCACAGCAACGAGAGAGAGGACACCTGGGCCCTGATGACCTCACGGAGCTCACGCCCGGACTGCCAGCCAGCCGGCACTGCGGCGACGCAGAGCCAAGCCAGGTGTGTGACAGTAAGCGGGCCTGTCACAGACGCAGCCTGTGGGACCACCTCCAGCCCCGTGCAGAACGTGCGCCTGCAACCAGGTTTTCTGGGGAGAGCCGGGTCGGACGTCTGTGTCCAGCACTGTGGCCGGGTGCTGGGAGCCTCTGCGTACCGTTCGGAACTCTGCCGGAGAGCTTTCGTCCCACTGGTGCTGACATCGCTGCGGCCTCCCCCACCCCGCCCCAAATTCTGCCTCCACAGTGACCCCTGACCTTGCCTTCTTGAATAAAGAGATGTTAGCCAGCCTGCCTCCGGCTCCTCCCTGGGGCTGCTGCCCTGGCTGGCAGACACTTCCCCTCCCCGAGGACGGCGTTGCATGGAGCAGCAATCTCTCGTGTGGGTCCGCAGCCTGGACCACACCATAGACACCACGCTGCCTGCGCTGCGACCTTGACCTGAGCCACAGAGCACACACGTCATTCAGCCCCGTGACACAGTGACCACACGCAAAGCCCGTGGTCACCAGGAGCCCTGGGCAGCACTCACGAACAGCGACCCCACCCTGCTCTTCCAGCCAGGGAGGAGCTGGCCCCCTTCCCACCCTGCCCCCAGCACACGCCCCGTGCTGGGTCTGCAGTATTTCTGAGGATGTGGGTTGTTCTGGAACTCTGCCGTCTCAGGGAGGTGGTGGTTTCTTTGAAGCATGTGAGTTCAAAGACATGAACCCGGCTCACGGCAAAGCCAAGAAAACATCCCCTTTGGAATCAGTATCAGCATCCTAGGGCTGCTGTAACAAGTCACCACAAACCTGTGGCTGAAAACAGCAGTCGTTTCTTTTCCTACAGCCCCGGAGGTCCGAAGTCCAAGGCCAGTCTCACTGGGTCAGCAGCCAGGGGTCGGCGGGGCCCCTGCCCAGCCCCTCCGATGCGGCCGTTCCCAGATTCAGACGGCGCCCATGCGCCCCACTCCCTGGCGAGCGCCCCGCCCTCCGGCGAGCGCCCCGCCCTCCGGCGAGCGCCCCACCCTCCGGCGTGCGCCCCACCCTCCAGCGAGTGCCACTCTCATCTGCTCCGTCACTGCGCCACCTCCCCCCAGACGCTGACCCTGCCGCGTCCCCTGTGACCCCCCCCCGGGCGGGCCCCGCAGATGACCTCGCAGAGCCGCCCGTCGCACAGCCCTGACCTCATCACACTGGCAAGGCCTCCTGCCGAGTCGGTAACAGTCACGCGTCCTGAGGGTTAGGATGGGGACGACTCGGGCCGCTGGTCAGCCCGCCCTGCGGGCAGAGCTCTTCTCGGCAAAGGTGCGGGATTGGGAAAACGACCTGCACAGTCTGTTTACTGCGAGGCTCTCTCAGCCGAGGCCCGTGCCCCCGGCCGAAGGCAGGGTCTGCGGCGGGTGCCACGGGCGGGGTCTTCAGGCCTTCGGTCTCGCCCGGGGCTGACACCGCACCAGGGGCGTCTGAGCGAGTCAGCTCTGCAGTCCCCGGCCCTGCCTTCCGCTGTGGGCCACAGGGCCACGGGTCTGCACGCCTTACGGCCCAGCGGCAGGTCCCCTCTGCACGGGCTGCAGGGGGCAGGCGGCCTCCAGCTCAGGCGCCGGCCAGAGCAGAGCCACCCTCCCCTGCACAAGCCTTGGCTGTTGGGTTTCTCCGAGCGAGCGTCTCTCTGAGCCTCCCCCTCCGGCGGGGACGGCCTGCTCCACCTCGCCCGCCCCCCCTGTGGCAGCCACCTGGCCCCTCCAGACCCACTGCCCCGCCCCTCAGCCTCCGCCGGGGGGCTCTGCGCTTGGCAGTGCTCAGCAGAGCCGGGGGCCGGGCCACACCGCCCCCCACCCAGGCTTCCCCCAGGCCCTCGAGCGCAAGCACTTCAGGCTCGGGGGGCTTCTCTCCGTCTGTCAGTGTCCGCCCAGAACCGTCATGTCTGAGCAGGAGACCGGCCCTCCCTCCTCGGGGACCAGCGCCAACACCACAGGAGAGACAGGATGGCGGGGGCGCTCGGCGGCTCGGGCGGAGCCGTCTGTGTCAGGCCCCAGGTCAGATCAGAGCCTCGAGCCCCTGGCGCCGCTGAAGCTCCCTGGCCCTCGGGCTCTTCGCTGTGAGATGGGAGTAATACCAGCACGTGTCTCAAAAGAGCCGTTAAGTGAGCGAACACTCAGAACGTGCTCAGGACAGCCCTGGCACGGGGCAGGGGCGCGTGCAGCAGAGGGACACGCACAGCTGCCCCTGGGACTGTCCCCGAGTGACGACGAGAACGGGGCCCCGAGCACTGGCTGCACAGCTGCAGTGGCCTCGGGTTAGACGCGCTCTTGTCCCCTGGGGGGAGCAGGCCGGGGGGTAGGGGCGGCGTCAGGTGGGCGGGGGACTGTGTTCGTCAGGCTCCCGGGAGCAGGCAAGGCAGCGGCGCCAGCGTACTTCTGCCGCCCCTCGCCCCCTCGCGGCGCTCGCCCCCTCGCGGCGGAGCCCTTATCAGGACCTGCCCAGAACCTCCCGCGGTTTATCTGTCCTTCGCCGCATTCCCAGGCCACGCCCTGGCCGCTGTCCCGGGGAAGCCGTGTGCCCCAGTTTCCCGGCCTCGCCCTGCCTTCCTCCTCGCAGCTCTGATCGCGAAGGCTCAGCAGAGACCACAGACGTGGCCAGATTTGCCCCGAACAGTCCAGAAGAGCCACAAGCCCGGGCGAGGGCTGGGGTGGGGGGAGCAGGAGGCCGGGAGGCAGAGGGGCTGCGACCACTGGCCTGCCTCCCAGCCCTCTCCACAGGGCGGGCACAGGACTGGCTACTTGGGTCAAGGGAAGAAGAAACATCGAGGACCCTGCAGTGGGAGAGGCAGACGCGTGTCCCGTGGCTCAGACCTAGCACGGCCAGTGAGTCCGCAGGACGGGGTGAGGGGCCGCGCCTCTCAGACCTCTGGGGACAGCTGGGGGGTCTCGGCTGGCAGGTCCCAGGGAAGCAGACCTAAAGCCCGGAGTCCTGGTTTGCCCCCACAGGGCAGCCAACTTCGGGCGGGGATGCTGGGCGGGGCCTCCGTGGAGGAAGGACATGTAGGTCACGGGCCTCGAGGCCGGGCAGCTCTGAGTTCCGGTCCTGCCCACAGGAGCCCCTCGAGGAGGCCCGGTCTGCACGCCCACCCCGGCCACGACTCCGACGCGACGGCCATGCCCTGTCCTGTGCCGTCACAGGGGGCCACTGGCCGTGCGTGGCCACCGCACACTCCAAGCCTGGCCGGTGTGACCGGGGAACGGGGCTTCTCACTGTATTTAGCTGTGATCACGCGGACGTAGCCCGCGTGCCTGGCGGCCCCCGTGCCCGGAAGCAGGAGTCTGGGTCCTGGAGAGAACGGCGGCCCCTGACCCCACGCCCCGCCAGCGCCTCACGAGGGGGAGCGGAACGGAGCGCGCGAGTGCCCGGCCCAGCACAGGGGGCCACAGGAACGACGGCGCTGCTTGACAGGGCCGCTCCTCGGACGCGGGGGAAGGGAGGGCGGCCGCGAGCCAGGCGGGGGGCGGGGGGGCCGGGATGGGAAGGGCAGAGCACTGAGGCGCCCCGCGACCGCCCTGCCAGGAGGTGTTGGGAGTCACGCTGCGGCTGGCGAGGCTCTGAAATGCTGTTTTAGATGATTCACACGTTTTCGCTGCGTTGGTCCCCCATCTGTTTCCCATCAGGAAACCCTTAAGATGCCTGTTTACTGGAGCAGGGCAGAGGGAAGGAGGGCCCGAGAGGCTGTGTCCCCGTGCAGCCGGCCAGGGAGAGGGAGCCCTCCGAGGCAGCGGGGCCGTTCTGCGAAAGGAGGAAGCAGGCGGCGTGCTTGCGCGCTGTCGAGGGGGGGAGGAGAGCCGAGGGAGGGGCTTCCGGCTGCACAGGGGACGTGGGAGCCTCCCCCAGACACACATGTGCACACCCCCCCCCCCGCCTGGGGCTCTTCTCACACTGCCCGCCAGGAGGCGCTGTTTTCGTGTGAGCCCAAAGCTGGGAGCAGCGTCGACTGGACCTCGAACGAGAACCTGGGGCTCAGCGGGGAGGGGGCTGGCGCAGACCCAGGCGAGGCCAACTGACCCGAGGGAGGGTGCAGGGTCCTGAGGGCTTCTCCACTCACCCTTGCCTGCCGGTCCACAGACCCAGAGCAGCCCTGAGGGGCCACGAGAAGCAGCCTCACCTGTGGCCAGGCGCTGCGGAGAAGCAGCTCCCCACACCCCCCCCCCAAACTGCCCTGCTGAGGGGGCACGGCCCCTGACATCACCGTGGGCACCCTGGGCACCCACGGGTGTCCCACCAGGGCCTGCTCAAAGTGAGACCTCCCTCCAGGCCTCTGTGGGGCCCCTCCCCCTCCCCAGGCAGGCCAGGGCTGCAGGGCAGCCTGCCACCCTCCCTGACGCCACGCTGCTGCCCAGACCAGGGTCCCCTTGCGATGAGCAGTGACACCAGCTCCACAGCCCCCTGACTGGGGACCCGGGAAGACGCTCCTCGCCCACGCCTGCCTGACTCTGCGCGGCCCCGTTCCCGCGCCCCCACGCCCCACCCCCCCGTGGCTCTCGACCTTGGGACTATGTCCGCGCCGGGAGGGCTCTGGGCTGCTGGGCCTCTCTCCTCACTGCCCGTGGCACGGCTGCACGTGCCTGACCCTGTTCCGTGGCCCAGGAACAGGTGTTCGGCCGTCTCACCCTCTGCCCACAGGCGGCCGCCCCCTTCCCACTCTTCGCAGCCCCACCCCCAAACCGCCATCCCCCAGACACACGGACAGCCTTCCTGTGTGGCTCTGAGTCTGGGGCCCGTGCCGGGGCCCCCGAGCGGTGTCTGTGGACCCCCTCGGCCACCGGCCCTCCCACCACGAACGAGTGCGGGCACTGACCTGCAGCGCTGTGTCTCACCTTCCACCCTTTGCTCCCCCGAACTCGTCCTCAGCACGTCCCCGCCGGCCAAGAAGACTGTGCTGGCTGCTACTGCCCGCCGCTCCGCCGCCCCGCCCCCCACCCACAGCGGGCACTGTGGACACGGCAGCGGGTCTGCTTGCTCAGGCCACAGCCCTCCCCTGCCCCAACCCCAGCGCCCCTCCGGGGAGCAGAGGGTCAGCGCCCCGTGTCATCTCTCGTCTGTGCCCCAGCCTTCCTCAGGGGGTGACGCCCGCCCCACGACAGGCGGTCTCAGAGGGGCCGTCAGCGTAGGGCCCTGCCCGCCCCCACCCGCCCCCCCCGCCGTCCCGGCCAGAGGGCGCACACACGAGCTGCCCGGCCCGTGCGCTCTCGGCAGGCGACTGTCAGCTTCGTCCCGGGGACAACGCACGGAGCCCGCAGGCAGCGACGCCAGAGGGGGGCGGCCCGCTGGCCCCTGCCACCCAGGTCCCCAAGGAGCCCGGCCCCTGCGGGCGGCCCGGCCGGTCAGCGTCCACATTGGTGCTCTCCGGCGAGTAGCCCGTGGGGCGAGCTGCGCGTCGTGTTAGGTGCTCCAGGCGGGCCCTGTTGTCTGTTTACACCCAGAGGACCGCAGTGGACCCAAAACTCTGCCTACTGAGAATAATTAGCCCGACGATCGTTGAGGTCTCTTCCCACCTCTGACAACCTGGTCCCAGGCACCTCCGCCACCATAACTGACAGGGCCCCAAAGTCAAGACGGAGGAGAAGAAGAAAGGAACCCCAAGAGCTGCGGGAAGGAGAGAGTAAAACACCTTCGGTGGACCGCACCGCGTGTGACAGACACCACCCCCGTGGGAGAAACGGACGTGCCCGCCCCGTGCGTGGTGCCCGCCCCGTGCGCGGTGCCCGCGGTGGAACGCGGTGGAACCCCGCGGGTGAGCGGGGGCACGCCGAGCCCAGGCCTCTGGCGTTTTGGGGCGCCCCCGCTTGCTGTGATGTTTGCTACGCAGCGTTATCATGGCAACCGCTGACTAGCCCCAGATCGTCTGTGATTCTGGCCAGCGTCCAGGCTGACCCCTTCCGGGCTCTGCCAGCCGACTGGGGTGGGGCTCCGCGAAGTCCTACCTGCCACTCGGACCTGGCTGGGGGCACAGGCTCTGCAGGGGAGCACCCGGAACTCTTCCGCCTGGTACATGGAGTAATCCGTACTGGCAACGACCAGGGTGTCCCCGGGCCTCCACGACTGCACATTGTCTTCCAGGGTCAGGACGGTGCTGTTGACGTTGGTGTCGACGGTGACCGTGAGTTTGGGCCTCACTGCAACCCAGAGCAGCAGGGGCTGAGATAATGGCCCATCGCCCTTGGCAAAGCTCTGACCACCCCCACCTCTCCCCGTCCCCTCCCTAAATAAGTAAATGCCAGGTTTGCCTATCCAAACCCCAAATGGCCAGGCTCGCTCCTTTTCAGGCTCGGTACAGGGTTTGGAAGTCAACAAAAGCCCTACCAGAAAAGAGCCATTCATCAGCTCTGGGCAGAGGAATTTTCCATTCAGCCCTCAGCTGGAGTTCGGCGCGGCTGCCTCACCACACCCACTGCGCTCGAGATGTAACACAAATATAGTTCCTCTCCACTGTCATTTACAGTAGCTGTGAGCCGTGCCCCCAAAGCCCTCCTGCCCCTAACGACTGCCTTCTGGAGACTGCCAAGGGCCCCCGCGGGCAGACTGGCCACTTCCAGCCCCTTCTAACGAGCATCTCGGGAACGGGCTTAAAATAGAGGCACCCAAAGAGGCAAGAGGCTGCGCGTCTGTGCGGGGCGGGGGGGTGGGGGGGGCGGGGCGCAGGGAGTCCAGCTCTGTCCCCTGCACCCCGGCTGTCCTGGGCCGGGCCCTTCCCCTTCCTGACAGGCAAATGGGCAGGGTGGGGTCTGCTGGCTCCTGCCCGCTCCCAGCACCCTCCCGCTTCTCCTGTGTCGTCAAGTGGTTGGCGGGAGCTCCGCGTCACCGAGACCCCGAGGGGCAGCAGCCCCAGCCACCCAAACTCACAGTGCACAGCCACCGCCCCACTTCTGTGCCAGCGAAGCACTGCTTACCGGGCCTCCCACACAGGAACCGCACTCGGTACCTCTGGCAGGCATGGCCCCGGGCGTAGCACACAAACCTATAATCCTGGCCTCTCTTGTAGACGACCTCCATGCTGAGGTTTGCCCCGTCCACTGTCGTGGCCTGCAAACGGCACGGAAATTACAGAGCAAAGTCATTCTTTTTTGCAAAGAAAGAAGGTGATGATTAATGCTATAAACGTATACCCACAAGTCTAAAATTGTCCCTGAAGCAAAAAGCATGCTCAACGGCCCAAGACTGCTCCAACGAGGGCACCGTCTGGTCACGGAGCTGCAGGGTCCGACGGTGCCGGTGTCCAGACCAGGGGTGTGTGCGCGACGCTGGGTGGGCGTTTTAAGGAGAGCCCACTACAAGCAGGTGCTCTCTTAGGAGCTGGGCTGGCTACCTACAGCCGCCGCCAGCGCCGTGAATGGCGGCGCCATGAGGACTCGCCACGTTCAATCCACGGGTGACCCCACACCACGCGGGGGCTCTTTCCAAACGCGCGGGCCCAGGACCCGTCCCCAGTCTGCGGTCCGACTGTGCCGGGGCCTGGCCGGGCGTCAGCCCTCTGCAAAGCTGCCCCGGGGACTCCGAAGGGCCGTGCGGCGCGAGGGCCCCACCCTGTCGCCGCGGAGCCAGAGCTCGCCTGCGTTACCTCACCCAGCTTTAGGGCAGCACTGGGAGGTCTCTGCTGGCTTCGCAGACAGGGACACAGGGACTCAGGGAGGCTGCGGGCCTTGCCCAGGGTCACGGAGCCAGCACGCAGCCCAGCCGACCTTTGAACCCAGCCCTGCCCTACCACAGAGCTGTAGCCGCCCCGCCTCCCGCGGCCCCCAGGGCTCCCAGCCTGGTGTCCTCCCTCAACGTCGGTCTCCCCCCACTGGCCGCGGGCTCTGGGAGAGCCAGGACCAAGCTTCTGCTGTCTCCCTGAGCCCAGCATCCACCCAGGGCTCGGCGCAGAGGGGTCTCGGCCGACGGGGGCTCACGGGGGCTGACGGGGGCAGTGGCCCCGAGGCCAGGTGGGGAATGTGGGAGGCGCGCTCCGCTCCGAGGAGGCTCCTGCCTGCCGGCGGGCTGGCCCAGGCTGGGTGTGTCCGGACGGGCTGTCACGCGCAGATCCCAGCAAGGGCTGCAGCTGCTCTCCTCCGGGGCACAGAGAGCGAAGGCGCCGGGGCTGGGGGAGTGGGCGGCCAAAGGACAGGCCACCTGGGGAGGGGTGCTTTTTAGGAACCACGGGTCTGAACCCAGCAGAGGCCCAGTGGCGGCTTGGACGGAGAGCGCGGAGACGGGAGTCCAGCATAACGGAAGGGCAGCCCTTTCCTGCGAGCTCCACACACACACGCCGCCCTCTTGGGGGCCTGCGGCCACCGGAGGGGCAGGGGCTGTGGAGCAGCTCCCCCGGGAGATGCGGGGCCTCAGAGTGGGTTAGAAGCGCAAGGTCACTGGCCACACGCAGCACCCCGGGCCCCCTGCGGCCAGCGTCTTCTGTGGGAGACCCCATCGTGCTGAAACCGAGCTGGAAACACCAGCGGACAGAGCGGGACATGTGTCAAGGAAACAGCTACTCGATTCTGCTTTTTCCTTCTCTTTCCTTTTCCGAACCTGAGGCAAGACCTGGGTTTCGGGTCACACAGGGAACAGGGCCCTGCCCCTGCCGGGGGGGCCCGACCTTCACTGTGGGTGGACACTGCCGTGCTGTGACTCCTGAGGACCGGTCATCGTGGAGCGCCTGGCAGTGCTGCCACCGCCGCAGAGAAACAACGTGACCTGCCCGTGAGGCACTGGCGGGCGCGCCGTGGGTCGGGCTCTTCACGCGCCGGTGCACCCGGACCACAGAACAGTCCCACGGGGGCACAGCCACCGTCCCCGCTTCCCACGGGAGGAACCCGGACCTTCAGCCGCGTGACGGGACTGACCCCTCGGGCAGGACGGAGCATGAGGGGCCGGGGCCAGGCTGCAGGCGGCCCTCGGTCTCAGGGGCCTGCAGGGGCCGTCCCCACCGGCCTCCTTCACGATCTCCAGGCCTCCGGGTGGGTTCTGTTTGACTTTCGGCCCGGGGTGGGCTCTGCGTCAACGCTCAGCCAAGAGCCTGAGCCCACGGAGGGGACACAGTTGCTGGAGGAGAGGGAAACGGCTGGCAGGGAGCGGTCACCTTCCCAACAGCCGAGGTCTGGAGGCTGCCGCCGGCAGAGCAGAGGCCAGCAGCACCAGGAGGCGCGGGCAGGGCGTGTGAGCACCCCGAGGGCTCCCAGAGAGGTTTGGGGAGCTGAGCCCGCTGAGGGAAGGGCTGGACTTCCTGCAGCCCAGTGGGCAGGCGGGCGGAGTGAGGCTGTGGCTGCTTCAGCATTACAGTGGGGGCGCTACGCGTTGCCAGAGAACGTACTAACACTAGATCCGGGAAGCACGGTGTGGGGGGGGGCAGGGGTGGAGGGTTTGCTTCTGTTGGACCCGGGAAGAGTCACAACCTGCACCTTCGTCTGAGCGAGCCCCTCGGCGACGCCGCCACAGGGTGGGCGAGGACCCCAGGCCGCAGAGCAGAGCGCCCGTGCTCCGAGGAGCGGTCCCTCGTCCACAGCCCCTCCGCAGTGCGAGGCGGGGAGTGGCACCATCGGGTGACCTGCCCCCTGCGGTCAGACCGCCTGGGACAAGGCGCTGTGTCGGCTAAAAGAGAACGCACCGGGCAGGGCTGGCCCTCCCTGAACGACCCCCGGCCCTCCAGCAGGTGTGCGAGGGGCCCGGCCCCGCTGCGGGACGAGACCAGGCCTGGGCAGGGAAAGCGAAGGCTGCCGACGGTGCCCACCCCTCGTCTTCCCTGCGGCGTGCGGGGAACTCGGCTCCGCGGCCGCGCCAGCGAGCCCGAGGGCTGTGTGTCCGCTCGGCACGCCCAGGGCAAAGGGGTCCAGGTCCCCTCAGGCCGGCTGACTCCACCGGCAGGTCCTGAGCAAAGGCTGTCCCCCTGTGACCGCTGGCTTCTCCTTGGGAGAACCGGCGGCGGGTGTGCTCCCCCTGCCCCGCACTGGGCCCCGGGCACTCAGGGCCCCAGGGAAGTGAGCTGAGAGGCGAGCCAGGCCAGGGAAACCCGCCCCCGAGCCAGGCGTGCCTGCAGGGGCAGGTGCGGAGGAGGGGGGGCCTGCAGGGAGCAGCAGGAGAGAGCCTGCCCCGCGACCCCCCAGCCAGGGGCTGGAGCCCACCTGCAACCGGGAACGGCGGGCCCTGGTCACCGGTGTGCTACGGGGGCCGCGGCAGCCGCACCACCCAACGACGGAAGACCTATGTCGGAGGTCTACAGTCCCCCCCAGACAACCCGCGGCCGTCTCCGGCGGGTACCTGTATATCAAGGGGGCGGGTGCAGATCTTCCCCGGGTGAGCCGCCCGGAGGTCGGAAATCTTCTCCCCACCTTTCGTGTGCGACACCCTGTCGTGGTCGATCCACTCCGTCCACTCCACGTCTAGGTGGAAAGCAAAGAGCCGGTCGGACAGGGAGGCCTGCGGGGGCCGGTCAGGCTCGGCGAGGCCCCCCCCCACCCGGCACCCTCGGCACCGCGGACGAGTGCCGTCCGCCTGGGCCTGCGCCGGCCTGGAGAACAGCGTGCCACCTCTCCCAACTGCTAACTAGAGACGCCTCCTGCTTTATAAAAGCAACAGACACTCGTCATGCTGCAGAAAGGAGAGAGAGGAGTCCCCGTGGGAGCGCCCCGGGCAGAGACGGCTGCTGCCTGCACCCGGCCCCTGTGCGGGCTCCCTGCGGGCCGGGTGCCAGCAGCCCCGCTCATCGTCCCAGGCCGGCACCTCGGCCGGGCCCAGGGGAGGCGGCTTCACAGACAGACTCCAGGTGCAGCGCGCTCGGACCCTGCCACACCGGCGCAGCCCCACTGGCGCCGGAGAAAAACCCTTGTCCTGCGAACACAGAGCGCCCTGGCGATCCGCCCACAGCCAGGTTCCCCGGGCAGCCCCAGACGCCTCACCTTGAACCCACTCGCTGGACGAGGACACGTTGAAGTATTCGCCGTGCTCCGACCGGAACAGCTTGGACACCCGGGCAGCGACCGAGCCGCGGTGGCCTGCTGGAGAGCGGACACTCAGCAGCCGGCAGACCCCCAAACCCAGAGCCGCGTGAGTCTGAGGCAGAGAAAGCTCCCCCGACACGGGGCTCTTGAGCCACTTCTTTAAACAACAAAACTGCCCCAGGCCCACCTTCTCACGTGGAAGCAGATGGTCGCCCCCTCCTGCTTCGTTCGGGCTCAGAAGCGGAGCTGCATCCGCGCGGTCTGCAGCGCGGGGCCAGGGCGTTTCTGGTCTGGGCCCCTCTCCGCGACTGGCCCCAGCCTCGCCTCCCGCCCCTGCTCCGGGCGGGGGCAGCTGCCACCACGAAAGCCCACCCAAAGCGTCTTTTTAGCTCAAAATCCTGCTCCTGCCGACTCTGTCCCAGTTCCCGCCTTGCCTAGGCCCCTTGTTCAGGATCAAGTTGTTAACAAAGGTGGCGCTGGAGCTGCCACCCCAGAGGAGCTGCCTGGCAGGTCGCACCCCTCAAGTCTTTGGGGTGTCAAAACAGGGCCAAACGGCCATCGCATGGGGCCTGCAGCGGCCTTGCGCCCACAGAGCCGTGAGCAGAGGGAGTAAGAAGGCAGACCTCACAAGAGGACTACTGCATGGGCGGCTCCCAGGCCGAAAACGGAAAACGCTGCTCAGGGTGCACGCCTCTGCGTCATGTGCCCTGCACCCACGGTGGTGCCTCCCGGCTGTGGGTGGGATCCCCCTCCCCCTCCCCTGAGGACCCCTCGCTTTGTCTGCTTGTGGGAACACTATCTGCACTTCTACCTGAGCTAACGGTTCCCCAATAGCTATTTTTATTGATCTCCAGTAAACACAGTTGTCTCTCACTCTGAAAGGCCTTTTACTTCCAGGTTAACAGAGTCAGTGACGAGTTCTCCGAAAACGTAAGTGTCATCTCGTTAACTGGCCCCCAGCGGTGCCGGCTGGTGGCCCTTTGATGGGACAGGGTCAGGCCGCAGGTGTGGGTCGGCACTCTCCGAGGGGGAGCGGAGCACCTCCGCCAGGGACACTGGGGGGCCCGGCCAGCCATTATTACCGTGGTACTCCGTGTGGTCTTCCACGGAGGCGGCGGGGTCTCCCTTCACCGTCACGAAGCTCCACGGGTGTCTGAAACCAACAGCAACAGGAGTGACGGTCTTCACACGTCTGAGCTCGGGCCGGGGCAGGCAGCACCCTGTCGCCCGGCCAGCAGCCCGCGGGCGTCTGGGGAAGTGGGTTCCCGGGCTGGGCTTCCCTTCTCCGCAAGAACAGGAGCTTTTTTTTTTTTTTTTTTGCAAGCACTGGGCTCCCTACCCGCCCGGCCCGCCCGATGTTTGCATGTTGCGAGCCCCCCAGCTCTCCTGGCCCGACACCAGGCGTGAAGCACAAACAAACAAGCCCGAGGCCTGCCCCCACCTGGGGCTGGCAACGGGCTTTGGGAGGGGAGGGACGCCTCTTCTCGGTGGGGCGCGGGGGAGCGAGAGGACAAGTGAGGCTCTGGGAGCTGCCCGGCCCCCCTCCCTCCGCCGGAGCGAAGGCAAACCTTACAGCTCTTGTCTCTAAGGTCGGCCGACGCCCCCCCGCCCCGGGGCCCCTGCCGTCTGTCCCCTGCGACCCTCCCAGCAGCCCCTGCAGGCGGCTCCCGCACGCCCCGTTTTACAGGTGCAGGAGCCACTTGGGGGGAGGGGGGTCACTCGCCTGCCGTCACACCTGACAGGAGGCACAGCCCAGACTCCAAATCCAGTCAAACTGGACGCCAGGTCTCGGGCCCTTGCCACCACCTCCTCCTGCGGTGGCCCTGGGGGGCCCGGCCCATGTGGTTCAGTCCCCGGGTGTGAATGAACGCATGGGCCTTTGGTTTACAAAACCGTGCTGACAGAGGAGCCCTGCGACGCCGCGGTGCCCGTCGTCTCCAGCTGCACGCCCCCCGGGACCCGGAGCACACCCTCTTGCCCCTGGAGGGCTGCTGCGCTCCGCGCCCGAGAAGGCTCCGGCCGGCCCACAGCCTGCAGGGCTGCCGGGAAAGGCAGCGCCGCCCCCACCACTGCGGGACAGGCGGCCTCAGCCTCCCTCTGCACGAGCGCTGACCCAGCCTGACAGAGAGGTGTGGCCGCCGCGGGGCAAACGGCTTCCTCTGGGTGCCAGCAAGCGGGCGTGCCCGAAGTGGGCACGGGGCTCCGGCTGAGCCGGCAGAGCTCAGAGCGGAAGACACTGCAGTGCAGTGCCCTTCCTGGGGCGGGGTGGGGCGGGGCCGGGACGCTCCGTGTGGTCTCCCAGCAAGGTCTGCCCATCCCCAGGGCAGAGCGAGCCCTCCGTCAAAGGACGACGAGGGGACGTCGGCTGTGTCCACAGGAGGCGTGGCCCTCCCTCGCACACTACAGATGCCTGGTTCACACTTTGTAAGCGGCTGCCTGAACGAACGAACTCATTATGACAGGGACCTTTCGCTTTCTCGGACTGAAACACGCTTGTGAGAAATGCCAGCTTCCCGTTAGGAACAAACCGCAATGTGCCCCGTGCAGACGGCGAGTGAGCTCGCGTCTCTGTTCCTGGGAGCAGGAGGCTCCATGGGGGAGGTGCGGCTCCGGGGTTCGGGGGCCGGGAGGAGCGGGGGTGGTGGGAGGTACCTGAATCCGAGGCGCAGGAAATGTCTGCTGCCCAGTTTGGTCATCGCCTTCCGGGCCGAGTCGTCCAGGTTCCGGGACCCTTCGTCGTTCACCGCGACGGACAGGATCATGCCGTTGGGCACCGCGTTCAAGTACTGCACCAGACGCTCGCTCTCCTTCTTGAACGAGTAGGTGTCGAACCTGAGCAGGGCAGGGACACGCGCTTGACGGTCCTGGCAGCAGCCCAGACACCGGCGTGAGGCTTGCCTCTTTCATGCCACAACCACCCCAAGGTCCCAAGGGCTCTGGTTTTCCAAGAGAAGCTTTCATTACAGCAGAAATCGAGCGTCTCAAACCGGATGCCGACAACCAGCCCTCACGCACACAGAGTGAAGCACACATCTCAGAAGCCTGCGCCACTGGTGACGGGCATTTACAAAGACACAACTTTGTGACGATGCCAACTCGCCCCCACGTAGCTATAAAGGTTTTGTGCAGTTAAAATGGAAGCTCCAAAGGAGTCTGCCTTGGGACTTAACTGGCAAAACAGTTCTAAAATGAAACCAGAAAAACAAAGCTGGGTGAAGAGTCGAGATTTCGGAAAAGAGGAGCAGTGGTCGGGGCGGTCAGCGGGATGTGCCTCTGAGTCACTGTTCGAGGAGCCCAGCCCAGCCTGCCACGGCCCCTCCCCAGCAGCCGGCAGCGTCAGGCCGCCGGCCGCCCAGCACCCTGGACCACGCCACATGCCCACGCCTGCCTTCCCTCGCCCCTGCTCACCTTCTCGCCACCTAATCAGATGCTTCCTACCTTTCAAGCACACACACCTATGTTATTATTCCTCCAGGTAACCTTCTCGGGCGACTGTGGTCTGCATTTACGTGTGTGTGTGTCCAGAGTTTATGATTATCTTTACTCAGACACAGGCCCCTGAGGCCACTGACACATGAGTGGGGCAGCGTGGGAGGGAGCAGGCGTCCGTCTGTGCAGCCTCCACGGCCGCCATCAGGGAAGCCTCGTCCCCAGATCGGCACGAACGCGCCACAGGCTGGCTGGCTCTCCGCGAGCGGCTCTGCCGCGCTGACTTGGGGAGCCCGGCCCAGAGGTCGGCCCGGAGCTGGGGAGACGGCCCCTCTCGTGTGCAGGGAGGGCTCCCTGACACACTGGCTACCGGCTGTGCCCCTCCGGGCTGCCCGTGCTCTCAGGCCTCGGCCCGCAGCCGTCCCCAGGGCACCCATGAAGACAGCACAGTGGGAAGGGCCCGGGCCCGTGTGGGACTGGACCCCAGACCCCGCACGTCCCTGCCTTCTGGCTCTGAGCAAACGTGGCCCCCGAGCCCCTGGGTTTCGCCTGTATCACGCGGGTCCCGACAGAGGCGAGAGGCCTCAGCACCAGTCACAACGGACGAGACACGGCGGCGTCCCAGATGCCCGCCCGCGGACCAGGGACTACGGCGCGGGGGGGGGGGGTGGTGCACGCGCACGCTGGGCTGGGACTCGGCCCCAGGACAGGGGGCGACCCGGCCACGTGTGACGCAGGGGGGCCGAGAGAGAGGGTGCTCTGCGCAGTGGGACAAGCCAGAGAAAGACACGTAACACCGTTTCACTTACACGCGGGATCTAGAAAACAAAACGAAGGAGCGAACCGAGCAGACTCACTGACACGGAGGACAGACGGGAGGGGCCTGGGGCTGGGCGAGAGGGGGCGGGGGGAGCACACACACTGCTGGCTGTGAGAACAGTCCCGCGGGCGCGCAACACGGCCCAGGGGACGTGCTCGGCGGCGCGGCAACAGCCCTGTGCGGTGCCAGGAGGGCACCGGGCTGACCGGTGATGGCTGTGTAAAGTGTGCAAACGTCTAACCACTGGGCTGTGCTCGTGAAACTGATTTAATATAGCACGCCACCTGTGATTAGAGAAAAAGAAACGAGGAGACAAGGCGGCCTGGGCCTGGAGGGGCGGGCTGACCTGGGGGAGGTCGGTGCGGGTGGAGCCGGGGCGCGGGACGGAGCCCCGGCGAGCAGACACAGGGGCGGTGGGGGGAGAAGAGCCTGGGGCCCCACTGCGTCTGGCCGCCGTCCCGGCTCGCTTCTGCTCCAAGACGGCGGGCCCCCCCTCCCGGCCTCACCCGCTATTCCCTGCAGGGCACGTCGGCTGCCTGAGCGCCTCCCAAGCCCCTGCGACGGGGCCCGGGACGAGCCTCGGGGACGGGGCCCGTCACCCGTGAGGACCGAGCCCGAGCCCGCAAGGAGCCGCTGGACTCTCGTTACCTATGAAGCCTGGGCCCTCGGCCACCCGCGGGGAGTCCGCCCCAGCAGGTGCACTCCCCAGCAGGGCTCACGTCGAACGGGCGTCTCTCCTCGGTCCACACGGCCCTGGGTCAGGAGAGACCGCATGTGTGCCGGTCCCGGAGGCTACCCCGAGGCTGCACCTTCCGCCGCGTTTACGGCGCGGCCGCCCTGCAGCTGCAGCCACACAGCACTGTGCGGTGCGCGCCGGCGCCGCTGGCAGCAAACCCGCCGGGCTGCCGGTCGCAGGAAAGCACAGCAGACGGGGTCACGACCCCGACAGTGAACGACTATGTCAGAGGTCACTGTGCTCGCCACACTGTGGTAGCTTCAGGGCGTGTTCTTCTACCGACAACAGGAAGCTGCCCACCAGCGCCCCACGCTGCCCCGGCAGCGGCCTCCTACACCTCGAGCCCCCTGACTGTGTCGTCCTCCCTGGCGCTGGACTCAACCCCACGCTGCTCGTAAGGTCGGCGCCGCCTGCGCTCACTGCCCGTGACGTCCGAGGTCGGGGCGCCAGGGGCCTGGGCCGCGCCGGCCCCGCCCCTCAGGACGCACCCGCTCAGGGAAGTGCCCTGCACACACCGCGAGCCCTGTTCCGACTCTCCTGCTGCGCGTGCGCCGCTCCCTTTCCGTGTTTAGATACACCGACGCCTGACCCTGTGCCACCACGGCCCACAACGTTCGGTGCCGTGACGGGCTGTGCGGGTGTGTGGCCTGGAGCTGAAGGCTGGACCGCACAGCCGGGGTGCAGCGGGCCGTCCCCACCTGGTGCGTGTAGGACGCTGCGGTGTTCGCCCAGGGACAGAACCGCCCCTCGACGCTTCTCCACGGGTAAGTGGCGCCGACCGACCACATTGCCTGTTCCATTTCCTGCCGCTCTCTGCGTCCCCACCTCTCTGCTGGCTTCCCCGTGCCTGGGAACGCCACGCCCTCTCCCCCCCACCCGGCCCTTCGCACCTGCCCCGGACGCGCTCTCCCCATGCAGCTCGGCCTCACCGTGCACCTTTCAGCTTGAAAGGGCAAGGACGCTCTTTCCCGACCACCGGGTGCAACCGGTCTCCCCCAGTGACCCTGCCCTCCACGGCGCCTGTCCCCAGCCACAGGGCGCCCCCGCCTGGAACCACGTTGTGTGCACCCGTGCGTGTGTGTGTGCACCCGTGTGTGTGCGCACGCCTGTGTGTGTGCACGCCTGTGTGTGTGCGTGTGTGCACGCCTGTGTGTGTACCCGTGTGTGTATGCACCCGTGTGTGCGCGCACGCCTGTGTGCGCATGCCTGTGTGTGCACCCGTGTGTGTGTGCATGTGTGTGTGCACGCCTGTGTGTGTGCGTGCACGCCTGTGTGTGCGCGCACGCCTGTGTGTGCACCCGTGTGTGCGTGCACCCGTGTGTGTGCGCATGCCTGTGTGTGCACCCGTGTGTGTGCGCACGCCTGTGTGTGCGCACGTGTGTGTGTGCACCCGTGTGCGCGCGCGCGCGTGTGTGTGCGTGCACGCCTGTGTGTGCACCCGTGTGTGTGCGCACGCCTGTGTGTGCGCGCATGCTTGTTCCCAGTGCACTCAGCCTCCCTGGGCCAACGCCTGCGGAGCGGGAGCCGCTCCGTGAAATCGGGGGTTCTGTGTGCTTCACCCGCCGCTCGAGTCCCGCAGGGGCAGCAGCGCCGGCCTGGGGCGCAAGCCCAGGGAACGGGCGCCGAACCAAGGAGCCTGTGTCCCAGTGAAGACAGAGCTTACCGGTCACAGTGGATGACTGCCCCCGATCTGGGGTTGATGACGTGAACGATGACTCCGCGGTGGCCCCAGCTCCTCTCAAAAAAATAGCCTCCGTCCTGCATGCCACCCGGGTGGAGGGTCTTGTTCAGAAACGTCCAGGAGAGCTTCTTCTGGCCGTGCAGCTCCAGGGTGCCTCCCTGGCCAACTCCGATGTACTTCAGCCCGAAGTAGGGGTCCGGCTGAACGCCTTCATCAGCCCTACGGGGGAAGACAGCTCTGCACGGCCGCCAACGCCTCTCTGTACCTGAGGCTGCACCCCGGGGGCTGTCACTCTCCCGGACCCCCCCTGCGTCCACCACTTGTGAGGTCGCCAGGTCAGGGAACTAGACTTACGACCGCATCTGCCCAAACCAGACCACAGGGAGGCCGACAGGCCAAGTGGGGACATTGGGCTTCAGCCTGCGTGCTGGCGTGTCTCTCAGTGCTGAGCGTTTGGTCACTTGGTCCCTAGCACACACGGAATCTCCTGCACCTGAGCTGCCCACCCTGGCGTGCTTGCGGCCACTGCTTCTCACGACTCTCAACTGACAGAGGACGGGGCGCAGCCAGGGGCCAACACTGCAGTGCATCTTCTTCACCCTGCTTGCTACAAACGGTTAGAGAAACAGAGCCGCCCTGGGCCATGGCGCGCTGGGAGGCGGCTGGGGGGCCGGCACGGACTCCTGTGACTTCGGCGCGGGCCCAGGGCGCTACAGTAAAAGGTCCCGTGTACCTGTGCAGCCCGCCCCCATCACCGATGTCCGTCCTGTCTGTGATCATGTCTGGCAGTGCGCAGTAACTCCGTCCTGCCCTAAACCCTGGCTGTCTCGCCCCCCACCCCACATTAGAAAGCCTTCCTCCCGTCAGACCCAAGAGTAGCATCTGACCCCCGCATGCTGTCTACCCACCTGCCATACAAAACGATGCTGAAATTGCCCTGGAAAGGGCAGAGGGCACTCCCAGCATGCAGTTCTCCTCCATTGTCAATCAGGATGTGCCGGGCACGCAGAACAATGGTCTCCTCGTGGTCTTTAATGACTAGCTTCCCTGGGGGGCCGGAATGGGGCGCGGTTCAGAGCGCAAGCGGCAGGGGTGAGGGCACAGCAGAGGCAGCGGCAGGCGTGGCCAGCCCCCACCCCGCCCAAGCTGCAAGAAGCACCTTGTTCACACCCCTCTGCGCTTGCTTGCTTTCCCCTCCTCTCTGCCTCTCCGCCTGTGCACCACGGCTGCCCGACTTCCTGCCGTCCCTGTGTGCACGGCGGCGCTCAGCGCACCAGCCTCTGAAGGCGGGATGAGCCGGCGCGCTCGGAGCTGCGGGAAGGACTGTGCGCTACGGAAGCTTCCCTCTCCACGTCCGGCCCTCAGACAAGCCTCGCCTACGTGCTCAGAGCCAATGGCTGTCTCAGAGAACCAGAGGCTCCGCCACGAACCCAAAGCGCGGGACTGTCCCGCGCACCTGAAGTGGTGGAGCCCCGCATCCAGCTGCGCGGCCCCGGGCCGTGGAGAAGAGCGCGCCCAGGGAGGGGCTGGCTCACCTCCGTCGGAGATGTGGATGGAGTGGACGGTGGCGGACGAGGTCAGCAGGAGTGCGCTGCCCTGGCCGATGGACACACGGTGGTCCCGGTCGTGGCCCGGGCTCCAGGGCTGCAGCCCGGGGCTCCGGTCGGGGCACTCGGCCGCCCCTGTGAAGGACGGAAAGACGTCAGAGTCCCTGTGCATCCACTGCCCAAGCGAAACCGCTGCAGGCCGCAGCGGGGCGGCGCCTCCTCTTCATGCAGCCAGCGCACCACACCCCTGTGGCCGCGTCCCTCCCTGGAGCCCAGCCCCGCAGCGCCCGCCAGCCCTGACTCAGGCTCTGCATCTCCTTCACGAGGAAGGGAATCGCACACTTCTGGTTTCACTGAAATGGCTCTTCCAGCCGGCGCAGACCGCGGGGACAAACAACACCACCACCACCCCAGGAGGTCATCCCTTGGAAGGAAGGAACGTCCCTCCCCCGGGAGGGACTGTGGGGAGTGGGAGGCAGGGACAGTGAGTAAAAGCTGCAACTAGGTAGACCATGAGTGGCCAGGGTTGGTGCCTGCATCCCTCTGACGCCACAGAAAAGCACGGACCAGAAGGAGCCAGACTTCCCAAAGGGTCTGTCTCGAAACAGGACGGGGACCCAGGGTGCGGGAGGGACGCCCAGAGCAGGGCCCTGCGGCGGGTCTCTGAAAGAGAGACCCCGGCCAGCTCCGAGCCCAGGCCCAGGGCCGGCGTGGTGCATCTCCGCTGAGCGAATGGCGGAGGGTGAGTGGCCGGCTCTGGGCGACACTGCCGACTGCCCCATCAAGAGTTTCAGTGCCGAGGGTGTGCTCTGCCCCCTGCGCACGCATCGGGAGAGATTCCGGAAGGAACCACCCTTGGAGGAATTTCACTGGTGAAGTTTAGAGATGACTTTCTTCCCCTGGTGGGCTGAGAAAAACCAGCACGTAACTCCTTTATTCTTACTGCAGGAAAGCACCCAGCCCAATCAACTAGAGTAGGGTTTTTTAAAAAGAGCAGTTGGTGGTGACCACGCAGTCACTCAACCTCTAACCACAGTTTAAAACGTGTCCCCGCCTCCACCTTCCCCCCATTTTGGTGTCTCTGATCACCGCTTCCTGCCCTGGCCGAGCAGGCCTCGTGCCTCCGGGTGTTAACTCAACACCACACAGAGAAGGGTCGCTCCTGCGATCTCAGAGACAGGCTCGAGCTCGTATAGAGCGTGCTTTCTCTCCCTCCCTCTCTCTCTCTCTCTCTCTCCCCCTCTCTCTCCCTCTCTCTCATGCCCAGAAAGCAGGAGGGTACTCGGCGTCCTGTCCATGGCAGGAGAGCTCTCGGGCACGCTGTTTGGAAGATCTGACCTGGCCGCCAACATGTGACAGGTAGGGAGCTTCCGCATGAAGCTCTAGGTTTCTGGCTTCTCTTAAAAATCCACAAGATCCTACAACAAGGGCCCCACCTCCACACAGCGTAGCAATGTGCCAGAACCTAGAAGACGGTATCGCTTCACAGGGGCCTGAAGGTCCCAGCGGCCCCAGTCCCCGCCTGGCCGGCTTCCCTGGCTCATGCTGTGCGCCTGGCTCCTGAGACCCTGAGCTTCCAGCCCTGGGCCTGGTGCAGCCACTGCACTTTGTGCACGACGAGCCGGAAGCCCAGGGCGAGGCTTGTCTGGGATTGCAAAGTTAGCAGGCCCGCCTGCAGCCCCGGCCCCTCATCCGGCCCCGCCCCCCTCCACCCCGCTCACCTGTGGTCCTGGCCCCAGGGGAGACAGCGAAGAGGAGCAGGCTGCCTGTCAGCATCCCCGCGAAGGAGCAGCTCTGCCTCCCGGCCAATCCCATGCTGGCGGAGGTTTCCCTGGAACACAAGGACGGCGGGTCAGCCGGCATCCTCCCGGGCAGACGCACGCAGGCCGGGCCACCTGTGCGCCCGAGGCAGTGTCGGCAGCACCCCCAGCCGCCGTGACTCGGCGAGGGCAGGTCGGGGCACGCGCCCCCCACACACAGCACCCCGCCGCCGCCCTGCGGCTCAGAGACCCTGCGGTGGGTGGGATTTCACCTTCGATGCTCCGGCTCCCCTCCTTTCACAAGGAACCTTTCTCTTTTTTCCTTAAAACACAGCCAGAAGCAAAACTACTCCCACTGACAGGAGCTGGGAGTCCGATGTTGCCAACTTGCTGTGTGATCTCAGCTGCTTTCATGAACCTCTCTGGACCTCACTGTCCTAATCTGAAAACCGGAGGGTGTCAAGTGGCTGGTTTCTAAGCCTGAGGCCACCCTTCTCTGTCTGTTTCTAGAGCAGGTCTCAGCAGTAACACCGGGACCCTGCGTGCAAGGCCTGTGTGCTACAGACCTGCCCAAGAGAAAGGCGAGGGCAGAGAGAGCCAATCCCCCAGTGCCCACTTCCCTCCTCATGCAACAAACAGCCCTGATGGTGACCGGGGCACCGGGCCACCGAGCATCAAGGCCACCTTCTCCAGCCTCTCTCGCAACCGCTGTGGCCTTGGAATTACGCTCCGGCCAAGGGGGCAGATGGGCCGTGTGTGAATGTAAGGCAGCATTCCTCAGGGAAAGCCTCCAGGAAGCCTTTCTTCCCGTCTTCCTGCCGGCTGGAACTGTGACGGGATGGCTGGATCTCAGCAGCTATCTCTGGCCGTGTCGGGGAGCCGGGCATGGAAGACGGCAAAGCAGAGGGAAAGAACCCAGGCTCCAACCTCACAGAGGACTGCGCAGCCCTAGATGGCAGATTCACTTTCTTGTGAGAGGGGTTTACTCCACTGCCGTTTTACTAAAGCCGCTTATTTTGTCCCCTTTTATCCATGCAAAAGGTGATAAGGGACTCTGTCTAGATAAACCTCAAGGCAGGAACTTTTTAAAAAGACGCCAGACTGCCCTTTCAGAATATAATGCCACTGGAGAAAGGCCTTTGTCCCCAGGTCCCCGGTGGCAGGCAGACTGCGCAGACCGGGCTCCTGCCCGCATCCCCGTGCCGCCCCCCTCCCCCCGCCCCCGAGCCTGACGGCGGCGGCGGTGCCCAGATCCAGATACTCCTCACACGGAGAGCAGCGGCTCAAACCCGTCCCACGCCCCCCTTTGAGCCAGCGGTGGCGGGGGGACAGTCCCATCACCCTGCCCTTGCACTGCGGGACGCGCGCTTCCCGTGCCCCCGTGAGCTGGGGCGGAGGGAGGGCCTGGGAGGGGCGACTGGCCGTGGGCCGGGTCCCCACACAGGTGTGCCGGGAGCCCGGGGAGGGAGGGGCAGTCCTCCCAGAATCAATGCCCGCGGCGTCCTCCCAACGGGCTCCCTGCCAGCCCAGGCCTGGTCCGCAGAGAACAACGGGGCCCATTCTGGTGCCGCAGCCGATGGCTGAAGCTGCACATCGCGATCTGGGAACGGCGCCTCTCCCACGGCCCGCAGAGGAGTGTCCGCTCTCACGCCCTTTGCAGTAGGAAGGAGGGGCGCTGGGGTCAGGAGCGCCCTGTGGTCCCGAGGGGGAGGCCAGAGCCCTGCGCTCGCGTCTTCGTCGGCCAGAAAGCCAAGGCGGTGCGCCGTCTGCGGCCAAGGCGCCCTGAGCTGCCGGTGGGCGCCTCTGGGGGAGCCTGCCTCCGGGTCCAGGAGCTGCTCCCTCTGCAGCGAGGCCAGGGGCGGTGGGGGCGGGGCCGCCCGGTGACCCTCCGCAGGGCGCGCTGCCCTCCGGGCCCGCCCGTGCCGGTGCAGAGAGGAGGCGGACCGCGGGCTGTGGGGCTGGGGCGCCGTCGGGTGCGTCACAGCCCACCGCAGGGACCAGGAGGCCCCTCCCTGCGTGGATGTGCGGACAAGCCCCTCGGAGGGGCTGCGTGCGGACCTCTCCTTCCCAACGTCCACGCGCTCTCCTGCTGCGCCTCAGAGCCAGCCCTGCCCGGGCCGTGGGCCCCACGTGGCTGGGGGGTGGGCCATGGGCTCCCTCGCCCGGGAGTAGCTTCCATCGCCTGACTGAGTGCCGCAGCCCCCAGAAACAGTCTGATGAGGGCATCCCCACATGGTTCTCAAATTGCACTTGGGGGTTCAAGGTTCAATGCCAAGGGTGGGCAGCTTTCTTGCTAGGCCGTTGCAGGCTCTCTGGCGTTGCCACTGGGACTGGCTTCTCCGGACGCCAGGGCACCGCTGGGAGGTGAGTCCGAGGAAGGCCGGGGACGGGCGCCGTCGGCGAACAGTGTGAGGAGTCTCCGCAGGAGGCTGGTGGCCGAGGCCGGACGGCCACTGCCCGTGCTGGGCCCAGTGGCCGGAGCTGTCCTGCCCCTGAGCAGAGCCCGTGGGGGCAGGGAGCCTGCGCCCGGCTGTGGAGGCCGGCACTCCAGGCCCTCACAGCCACAGGGGACGCTGCCCAGGGGCTCTGTCGCCGTCCACTGCACGCAGTCCCCGCGCTGCCCGGCCTCACGGGGACGGGGCAAGGCAGGCGCCGAGCAGGAACCAGGGACGCCGCCTGCCATGGCGTCTCGGCCTCTCCCGGCTGCTGTCACAGCAGGCGCCCAGGTCTCCCCTGTGGCTGCAGGGGCCCGTCCACAGCTGCCTGGGTCCAGGGCTTGTCACCTGCACCGAGAGAGAGAGAGAGGAGCAGCGTTACTCCAGCCTCCAAAGGGGCCCCGGATGCTTTCTTCTTAGTTTCTTGTAGATTTCCTGTCCCTGATGAAGTGGTCCCCCCCGCAGGCCTAGCGCCTGCCCGGCACCAGCTGGCACCGCAGACGGCTGTCAGGGTCCTGCCGACCACACTCCCCGCTGCACTGGACGTCCCCGTCACGGGCAACACGTGCTTCCGAATCCCTCCCCTCCCGTCCGCCGCCCCGAGCCCCTCCCGTCCCGAGCCCCCGACCAGCAGCCCTCTGTCTCTCGCTCAGACCTCCCCAGAGCAGCAGTCCCGGCAGGCACACACCTGCCCGAGACATCCCTGGCCTCGGGGGTGAGAGATCCTGCTCCCGCAGAGACTGCGAGATCGGGAGTCTCTTCGGGGACCATCGAGGCCTGGGGAGAAGGGGGGAGAGGGGTGGTCTCCGCTTGGAGGCGGGGGGCGAGGTGGGACCCTCGGGGCAGTCTGACACAGCACAGGGACGGCCACCACCCCCCCCCCGCCCTGTCCCGCACGCCCGGCACCGAGGCCGTTTCCACGTCACACGAACTCAGCTGAACAACGCGGTGCGGAGGCCGGAGCCGGGGCCCCAGCCTCTGCAGGCCCCGCCGCACACCCTGAGCCGGGAAAGCCGCGGGAGCGCCTGGCCGAGGCTGCCGTCTGCGGAACTGGGGCAGCCCCTCCCGATGCCAGTCCGTGCGGGTCAAAGGAGGCGCCCCCCCCCCCGCCCCGAAAGCCGACAGCTGAGCGCCGGACGCACGGGCAGTGTGTGCGCGTCGTGGGAGCTCCTGGAATCCAGGGCGAGCCGGACCCCGGCCACGGGACCCTGGGGCATGGAACTGAGAGCCTGGCCCTGCAGACTCTGGCCCTGCAGCTCTCGGGTCAGATGCTGCGTGTCCAACCAGATCTCGGGGAGGCTGCTGCCCCTGCTGCTGGGGCTGGGCCGCACTCTGAACAGCAGGCACCTAGTTCCAACCCCCGCATCCTCCCGCCGGTCTCTGCCGGGCTCTCGAGCCCACGGAGCAGCGGGGAGTCAGTTGCTCACAGTGGCCGGGAGCAGCACGAGAAGTCTGGACCAGGGTCAGACACGGGAGCTGCTGCCGGACCCCAAGTCACGGGGCTTGTGTCACCCTCCCCGCCACCTGCTTCAACTGAGGAGTCACTTCAGGTCACCGCTGGCCGGGAGAGTCGACAGGGAGGCTCTGTTTGTCCACAGTGCCTCCAAGGGTCTGCCCTGGAGGGAGCACCTCCTTCGACAGGGAATCCCCGCTGGGGAGCCCTGCAGAGCCCCAGGGCGGAGAGGAGCAGGGCGCCACCCCAGGCACACTGGGGCCCCCTCTGGCCTAAACCCCCACCGCACCCCGAGTCGGCTACCGGCCGGTGGCCCCCCACCTTCACCGCTGCAGCTCTGAAACCACGCTCCCCCCGCCGCCCCGGGCACACATGGCCCTGGCGTCCCGGGCACCTCCCTGCACCGGAGGCTGTGGGAATGGGAGGTAAGGTTCCCACCCCGGCACCGCCCCACGCACCAGGCACCGCCGGTGAAGCCACAGGCGTGACCCTCCGCCCAGGCGATGCCGCCTAGGGAAGGGGCCACGCTCGCCGGGGGTTCACCGCGGGGTAAGCCGCGTCGCCCCGAGGAAGCGTCGCACGCTGCCTGGTGTTTAAAAGGCGCCGCTGCCTGAGCCGACAGCGGCCAGCCCAGGTGGTGTGCCGGGAGCACTCCGACCTCACGTGCGGCAGGCAAAGCTGGCAACCGGCCGTGCGCTCACAGCGGACACCGCGCCGGTGCTCGGGAGCCGTCAGCAGCCAGGGGCCGCCGGGCCGGGCCGCAGAAGCCTGTGTTGGACACACAGCCCAGGGTCAGAGCCCCGGCGGGTGCCCAGGGTCGGTCAGAAGGCCCACACTCGAGCCGCAGCTGGAGCCAGAGCCCGGCCCCCCCGCCGGCCTCCCTGACCAGGAGCACGGCCCACTCCAGACCCGCCGACCGGCCGGGTCAGGGCTGGGGTCCAGCCTCCCGCGTCCCCAGGCCTGCGGGGGCCGGCGCCGTGCGCCCAACGGCGAGCACCTCCAGTGCAGCCGCCCCCCAGGGAGGCGTCCCTCCTGCAAGCAGGGCGCAGGGCGCAGGGCGCAGGCGCGCGAAGCCCTCGGGCCCCGCCACCGACAGGCGCGAAGGCGCTCTCAGGTCTGCCACCTCCGAGCTGTGCGCGGCCCCGGCCGTTCGCTGAACAAGCCGAGCCTCAGTCCGCCCAGCTGCGAGACGGGGAACAACTGGGGCTGCCCGACAGGGCTGCGGGGGGGCGGGGTGAGGAGCCGCACGCAGCGCGCGCGGCACAGCGACAGCCACGGCGCCCCGGGGCCCCGGGTGTGGGCGTGCCTCCTGCCCACCGCCTCGCCCGGCGGCCCCTCAGCCTGGCGGAGCGAACGGGACCCCCGGCCTCCTCACTGATAAAGCGGTAGAACTGCGTCATCGGTTGGGAGGCACCGCTGAACCAGGGACGCTTTCTCGGAGGCTGGGCCCCGGGACTCGCCGCGGGAAACCTGCCCCCGCAGGGCCGTCCGCTCACGGGGCGGAGAAAACACACCGGTGCGACGCACTGCGGCCCGCGCCGGGCGCCGGGCACAGGCTCTGCCCGGGCCCTGCGGGTGTGGCAGCCGCCGCCGCCGCCGCCGCTTCGGAAAGGGCGCCCAAGGGCGGGGTCTCCCGCACCCCAGCGGACGAGGCGGCGGGCGGGAAGGCTCTCCCTCCCAGGAGGACCCCCCCCGCCGTCTCCGCAGTTCGAGCAGAGCAGAGCCCCCGTGGGAAGAGACGGGGCGGGGGGGTGGGGAGCAGAGAGACAAGGACGGGGCTGCGTGCCGAGCCCAGGGCCCGGTGACCACCGCCGGCCCCCACACAGGGACACGGGGCCCAGGCCCCGCCGTGCGCCCCCTCCCTGCCGGCCCTCCGTGGAGGGGCGGGGGACGCCCCCTGGCGTCCGTGCTCCTTCTCTCCGCCGCCCACCCCGCTCCAGTGGCCAGGGCGGCCTCTGGAAACGGGCGACGCAGGGAGACTCCACGCTGACGGGTGCCCCCAGTGTCCCCGTGTCCCCTCCCTCGGTGCCCGGGTGTTAGATGCTCCACGGCTCCGACCACTTTTATTCACATGGGAAAGGCCACCTGCCCAGGCATGTCTGAGAGTCCCCAGGACCGCCAGGGCCCTCGACGTCCCAGCCATGGGCCCCGTCACCCCAGGCTGCCACCGGGCTCAGCAGAGCTCCGCCTCGGTGCCCCCAGGGGGAGAAGCTGCCACAGCCAGCACGGCACTCGGACTGCCCTCGGGGGGG